AAACCCTTGACCCGGCCAGTTTGCAACAATCTTCAAAACCATGTATTTATATGAAAGGGATAGTTCAGCCTAGAGTTGTTATAACTCAAACAACAAACAACAAATTATTCAAACAACCCAAACAAGTTTGCTTTGTTTGAGCTCGAAAAGTTTCAAACAAAACAGCCTGGTTTGATGGAGTTCCAGGGGATCAAATCAAACAAGCTTGTTTGACTTGTTTGAACTTGTTTGAGCACCCTAAACGGTAAGATTTTTGGGGATTTTTGATGGATCGGAAGCGAATTCAAACATTCAAAAACAAATTTTACCGGAAAAAATTTATGCAAATTGCGAAAATGCTGAAAAATCACGCTTTAAATCCAAAATTAGCATGCATTTCAAACAAGGTCAAACAAAACTCAAACTGCTCAAATAGTTCAAACAATCTTGTTTTGTTTGAGCGATCAACGGTCATCTCAAACAAAACATGTTTGATTTGAATCTCCAAAAATCCTATCAAACATCGTTGTTCAAACAAGATTGTTTGAGGCCTTGTTTTGTTTGAGTTATAACAACTCTAGTTCAGCCTTGAAGCTTTGGCAGTACCTTGGGTGACGGTCGAGTTAGACGAGGGTGTTTTTGATGGGGACGCCCCGTAGGTACTGCCGTCTATATATTTCAAGCACGTGTCTTTTGAATATGAGTGATGCTTATTTTTAGGAGCTTTCCTGGCCGCTACTGCCCATCGAATATGCACAGGAAGAGCTTGAGAAGGAGAAGCCTACGACCCCCGAAATGGCGGCTGCTATTGTGCAAAAGATCTTTCGAGACACCGGAGCAAAACGGTAGATTTTACAGCAAAATTTACGACAAATTTTTGACAAGAGCTACGTTTTAAAAGCAAAAACTTGAGCTGGATTATTTTTTGACGATAAAGTTTCCAAGTGCAATATTTTTCAGCTTCTCGTATCAAGTCTTCGCCCATCCGTCTAGCTGGGAACATGACAATGTCTACCACGTCTTCATGACCACCGGAGCTAATTACGCTGGGATTCCGGAAATGGCTGGCTACACGATGCATATCTTTCGCGTCGAACACGGTGTCAAGGATTTCTGCCAAAGGGTCGAAAAGTCGACGCAACTTCTAGGGGAGAAGGGGGCGGAGTTGGAAGCGATGTTCAAGTAAAATCCCCGGCTTTTTTACGAAGTATTTTTTGACGTTGGCTCTGAATATTCATTTAGCCGGATTTCATTTTGCCGAAGTTCATCCCGCCGAAGGCTGTTTTAGTTGCTTTTCTGCGATAAAAAAATGTCAAATGCCTCTTTCTCGAGCCCTTTAAGCCATTTTGGATACGTTACCTACGTGTCTAATTGTCTGTAGATGCCTGCACACTTATCAAGTGGTCGAAAAAGTAGCCAGTAGCCCCAATAGAAACCCCCCTCTAACTCGAGGCAGAAGTATTGAATCGGAATGATAGTTGCACCATTTGCAAGCCCGTGACACGACGAGTTTGCAGCAATCTTCAAAACCATGTCTGTATTTAAGCCACCCATTTTACAAGCCATTTGGTAAGATTTTTCGGGTTTCCGGGGTTGCACACGAGCTAATTTGGACATGCTCCATACAAAATGACCGGAAGTAGCCGTTAATTAAATGCAGAGGCCTCTGCTTAATGTTTTTAAATGCGTTATAAAACGGCGCTTTTTAATAAAAACATTGTTTGAAGATTGTTGCAGGCTGGCCGTTTCAAAGGCTTCCGAATGGTGTAATTATTATTCCGATCCGATACTTCTGCGGCCAGTTAGAGGGCGTTTATAAAGTCGCGTAACGGGAGCCTTTGTTATTTCTTGTCATTTCTTTTGATGTGGATTTTATATGCAAGGGTTTTCTTGATGAATTCTAATTAGGGCATCTGTTTTAAAGTGATAAAAACCAAATCCATTGACAAAATACAATTTTTTAGCGTTACAATCGTCAAATTAACACCCATTGGGCCCCTCTGATGTTCGAAAAATCATATTTCAAAGATTTCTGTGAAAAAGTGATTGAAAAAAACCAGAAGCAGATTAAGATGCGTAAACTGCATTCGGCGAAATGAATGTAAATCCTTACTGGCTTGTGGCATTTCGAGATTGCCCTTGAATTTTTCCGCGGCCTTGGCACGCAACGCGCAGATCGTAGAGGTGGAATCATCAAATTTCAGGCAATCAGAAGACTCAGCCAAAGCTCGAGGTATCGTCGATCGTTGGGTCCACTCTCTCGGACTAATCGGGGATGGGGGATTCAATACAGGATTTCTCGTCCGCAACGAGAATATATTTTGTGATCGAGCTTCTCTATCAATTGCTAACAACTATACAGTGAATCCATGCAACTCAAATAATTCTCTCGTTGCCACCACCCAATTTCTTGAACGCCGCTACCTGAACTGTTTTTACCGTGAACTTTTGCTTCTGGTTTTATAGAAACGATACTTCGTGTTTTCATTGATGTTTTTTGAAGGGGTGTGCAAGACCAAACTACTGATTTTTTGGCTTGGATTCTTAATGGAATTTTCCACGCTGTGACACGCAACGCTTCCGTCTTTTACTTGGGTAATAGTTTATCATTCCACAGCCGTGCTTCGCTTTGGCGTGCGCTCGTTCCTTTTCAATAGGGTGTCCAAAAAAGCACCCCTCCCGGCGCGAAATCGTGTCCGATTTTCACCGTTTAGGTATCTATAGAAAGCTCTTGAAAAGGCGAGAAAACAAGGAGGGTTCATTTTCTTTATTACGTATTTTTATTCGCGAATTTCACCTCCAAAACCGTGAAAACGGCAGATTTACGCGAGATCCGCATGCTAATTGCGAAATTCGGTGAATATTCATTTCGCCGAATTTTCATTTCGCGAATGTTCATTAGCCGAATTACGTATGAAAATCTATGTTGGAGACCTTGGAATTTACAAGCCTTTGCTCCGCCTGCCACATGATTTTGTCGGAGCATCAAGAAGATAACTTTACCTTCGTTGAAAACAGCGGCACTGATATGTTCTTCGTCCTATGTCTGAAGAAGAGAACAGCGGAGCTATGTTTTATTGTTCGCCTGATAAAGGGCGACGAAAAATCGGCCGAATGAAGTTCGGTGCAATAAACATTAGGCAAAATAGACATTCGGCAAAATGAAAATTCGGCGTGGTGAAAATTCGGCGAAATGGACATTCGTCGAAACGAATATAAATCGCGAAATTCCTATTGAAAAGCTACCTGGTTTTTAGACAAACGTTGAATATCGGGCGAATAAGAATAAATTTTAGAAAAATGCAGCCCGCTTGTTTTCTTGCCTTTTAGCGGGTTTCGCATGGTATAAAAATCATCCTCATCGGAGTTTCCTCCGGACCGCTAGAGGGGGGGGGGGTGCTTTTTTGGAACACCCAGTATATAACACCTTGCCCACCCTGAAAGCATATTTTGATGCCGCAATAAATCTTTTTGTATACGTGCTTTTTCGTTGCAGCGCATCAATAAGGTTCGACCATTGTTTGAAAATATGCCGTGTTTCTAAGCCAATTTTGACAGCTTCTAAACTTGAAATCCGAAAAATTAAGCTTTCAACAAAACGAATAAATTATCATTTTTTGGCCAAGGTGATTTGTTGACCAAATTTTTTTGGAATTCTTGAATGCGGATTATTCGGGTGTCATATCAATTCTTACGTTGTCAAAAATCTAATGAACACGACCGAAAGATTACAGAACATGCGAAATAGCGTTCTGCGAAATGGTAATTATGCAAGATCAAGAAATACCGGAAAGAGCATAGTAGAATTAGTAGGGCTGCATAGTTTTGAATGTTTAAAAGGCTAATTTGTAGAGTTTAAATCGGCGTCAAAGTTGCCGAGCCCGAAAAATAACTCGAGAACTACTGAACCGAATTGGCTGAAAATTGGTGACAATACCTAATTTGGGATGGGGATCATTTCTCGAACACATTGCAAACGACGAATGCGACCGGAACATGGTTAAATCTCAGTCTAAAAAGGACTTATTGAGATTCTCGATTTTTAGTATTCCGGGCGCAAGCTGAAATTAGCATAGAAAGATAGAATTTTTCTGCATCGAATGATGTGTAATTTGACTTGCGCTCGGAATACTAACTTTGAGAAAAATCGGGTTTTTATGCGAAAACGCGAAAAAAAAACTCCCATAGAAATACCAAGTTGTTGATTTTGCTAACCTGATATCTGAAAACGCATCCAGAGGCCAAGTGGCAGCATTTGAAAAAAGAAAAATCGTTCAGCAGCAACCGAGTAAAACCCATGCAAAATTGCGCCGCAGGCTTAAATTTTTCAGAGATAAGCTAAAGAGCAGCACCTAAAACACTATTGTTTAAAAAAATCCCCAGGAAAATTCCAAATTGAAAGCGAAATTTTCGATAAATTGACTATAAAAGCCCCCCCCCCTCCCCCCGAATGCAAACCCCCTGAATGGCGCTAAGGAAATTTTGCATAAAATCGAAAACGACCAAAAACTAACTTTTATTCTTCTGGGTTTTGTTATTAACGTAATTTTTTATTAAATTATTTTGAGCTGTAATTATAAATCATACAATTTTTGAAATTTTTAGCATTTTTTTGATGCCCTAGCGAAAGGCGTTACAAAACTTTTTTAAAAGCACGTAAAAATGCGCACCCACCACAATTTCCTACCAAATTTCCTACCAAAAATCTCTGCTGTGTACCGTATTCCAGTGTACGTCGCCAAATTCGTCGCCACCCGCGCGCATGCCGTCGTTCCGCATACCTCGGTAAAGCCGTCAGATTTATTAATTACCAAAGTCCCTACTGTTTGCAGATTGTAGACACTTATTGTGTCGCAAATTGTTTATTATATTGAAATAAAAATCAATTTTAATAAGGCAACAGAAAAAAAGAAATCGCAGGTTTGGGTTGAATTTATGGTCCGGATAGCAAATACGAAAGAAATACAAAGAAAGAAACAGAAACGAAAGAAAAAATTCAGCACAAAGCCAGAAGCCAATTATAATACGAGCATCATTAAGCCGCGATAGAAATATTCATAGTCTCGCCATTCATACGTCCACCTGTACGTCGCCAACGCAATGTCAGGGCCGCAGGCATTGATGGTGTAGTTGCCGGTGGCGACTCCTTTATCCTCAGTAAACCACAACTCTTCGCGGAAGAAGATTCCGGTCGTGAATCCGCATTCGCCGAAGAGGTTCAGGGCCTTTAGATAGCGATCCCAGATCTTATCAGCCCTTTGGGAGTCTTGAGAGTGCCTAAAATGCAAAGTATCCAGACCCATCAGTAGTGCCATTGTTTTTGCCAAATATCATTCCCTTAATTATCAAATCACTCCACTGCTATTCTCAAAGCAGCGCCACTAAGTTCGGACATTGGGTTAGGCTTAAAGGGATAAGGAAGGCCCATGTAGATCAGGGCTCATCTACAATTGACAACAAGCGCCGGAAATCCAATCCAGAAAGTGATCAAAGTGGGTGGGTCCAGGCAGGAGAGATCAAAGCCGATTTTTTGCTACTGTACGGGATGGCCAGAAAAAACCGTGCCTGGTGTGCACCAAAATATCACGCTGGGGGGAAACGAACCGGACCATCGTTACTATGTCAGAATGCTTAAATACGCTTGGTATGAAGAATAAACACACTTTTTACGATTTTTGACTTGTTAAGAATTTTTGAACACTTTTTGAAACTGCAGAAAACTTTGAAGGGGAGAATTATGGAACTTTTAATATGATATAAGCGAGTGAAGGGTGTCAAAATAAAGCTCCTGGAGCGCGCTATCAATTCAGTGGTAAAGAATATCGATTGGTTTAACTAGCCGTCAATACGAGCGTTCTTATTCTTCTTCTTATTCAATAGGAACGAAACCTAAAGTTGAGTCAAAACCCTTTACAGTAAGACTAAATATAGATTTAAGTTGAGCTGGGTTTTTGCTAATGCATCTGGGCCTTCCTGATCCCTTTCATGAAATCTGGCATTATAGGCATTCGACCGTCTGGGATTCGACTTACCGGAACAGAGCAGTCAAATCTTTCGTTTCCAATAGCTTCATCGCCACGGCGGCCCGTCTACAGAAGTCCCCCCTCACTGGGCTCGAAGCGGAAAATATGTGCGGTTGAATTTTCTCCTCCGATCTTTTCAATGGCGTGGTGATTGGCAACAGTGGTATTGATCATGTGGTAGTGAGATCCTTGGCTTAAGCGGGACGGACGTACAAAAACGTGGTACTCGTGCCTAAAAAACATTTTTATAAGCGCTTCGAATAAGTTGTTCTTTGTTAAGCGTGTTAAACATGTCCTGTTGGATACCTTTTTAAGCCCCGATCCTCGTAGCCCTGTTGGACTAGATCCGCAACTATGGTGGGATCATAGTTTTTGTTGTGTTCGAATTGTGTCCGTAAGAACGCTTCCGGCACCGCGGGCCAAGCATCTTCCTAAAAATTGGTAACACTACAAATTATTCAAATACCAGGGTTGAAAAGCCGCTTCGCGACTTTTCAACCCTTGCCCCGTCTCGGACCCCCATACTATTCTTCCCTTTGCATAATTGCCCTCCATGCAGAAGACAAAAAATGAAAAACAACCCTTTCTGTCTCTTTATATAGGCGACCGCCTACTTCCGGTTTTGGCTAATTACTCCTAACAAAGAGGTTTGTACAAAAACCGAAATTTAATAGCGAAAATGGCTAATTTTTAAAAATCTGATAGGTGTGCAGTCATCCCTAGACCATTACGCACCTAATGACGTATCATACGTAGCCTAATACCCGTCCCTTCTTGAGATATCCTCCGGACAGACACACGGAAGTGGATGCAAAGTGGCACACACACAAACACTATTTTTTATATATAGTAGGAATATAGTAGGATCGGAGGCGACAATAATACTCAAATATTGTTATTTTCGGCTATTTTTTACTCAAATGCACTGTAGCCTTGTTCTGCAGAGCAAGAGCTCCATTCTGGTACCATTCACAGCTCTGTAGGAGCTTTGGACCAGCAGAAATTAATTAAAGAAAACCCAGACTTATAATTGATATAAAATTTTTTCCAACAATTTTTGATGTAAAGAAACAACTTTTTTACGCATTAATAGGCCGCATGGTCCAAAAGTTACGGATCGGGGGCAGGGGTGTGCGTTCATTTCGCCGACGCTTATTTCGCCGACTATCATTTCGCCGAGTTTGCGGTCAAAATAGCAACAATGTAATTGGTAAAGTACCTCTGAGTATAGGAATTATGCCACAAGCATAAGTATTGTAAAGATTTACAGGCTCATAGTTACTTTACCGAATAAAGTTGCGCTATTTTGGCGGCGAAATCATCGGCGAAATAAGCGTCGGCGAAACGATCGTCGGCGAAATGAAAATCGGGGTAAACTAGATTTTAGCCTGCCGTATTTTAGAGTGGCGCTTATTCAAATCAAATCGGCTCCAAATTGATTTGATTCAATTGATTCGATTTGAATCATATATCATATTTTAGTGCGAAAAATTGAGCTTCTAATCAAATCGAATAAAATTCGAGATTTGGGTTTTCAAGATTTGGACAGATTCCCGAGGCATTTCTGTGGCGCAATTATGGCGTTGTTCGGCGTGCCAATTTACAGCCGAAGCGAGCTCAATCCCAGCCTAGTCACGGAAGCCAAATTTCTTTTTGCTCTTTCAGCTTGACTTCCAGATGGGATCGATCAAAAAACTAATATTCTAGAATTTCTGCCCAAAAACTCGAATTTTTTTGATTTGCGAATGTTATTCTACTGCATTCACCTTCACTAGGACCTCGTGCTACCCCGTACGCCCTCCTGGCAAATACGACCCCTGGAATCTACCTGGAAAGTAAGACCTCCTAGAAAGTACGATTCCTCGCGCTACGAAAATTTGTACTTCCGGCCCCCAAAACGCGCGCCACCTACTCACTGTCCCCAGCGTACAATTAAGTGAGTTTGATTATTTTGGGGTTGGAAGGTCAAACTGACCCAGAATCGTTGAGCTAGCGCCAAATTAATGCCTCGAAAACCAGTACTTCGAAAGTTCTATTTACAACTATCCAGTCGGTTGCACCAACCTGCTTCGCTCTGAGCCATCGCGCGGCATGGTTGCAAAGCGCGGAAACCTTCTGAGCCATTTTCTGGCGATCAAGTTCACGTTCAGCCTCATCATTTTCGTGTAATAAACTTCCGCATACACTGGCGTATAGCATCTAAAGTTATTTTCAAGGAATGATTTGTGAATTATGAAATCAATTTCCAAACCCCCGGAATACAATTTTCTGAAATCCCTAATAAACTAGCGCTAATGAAGAATATAGTGCAGAGCAATATTCATAATTATGTGACATACCGTGTGGCGTAGCGCCTCTTCAAGCTCCAGATATTGGAATTCGAGGGCCTTTCTCGAGCCGTAATGTAACTGGTAGACGTTTTCCGGGAGGCACCTAAAATAGCGTTGTAGTTCCCCGTACCGTCTCCCCCGCCCTTTTGTTTATTGGTGAGAAGAATCTCGGAAAGGCTAAAGGAATCACGACATTGAATTTCGCTTTACAAACAACTGAAACTTTTCGAATACTTTGCTTTAGTTATCTTGTTCTGAGATCTATCTGATAAGCATTTTTATGAGCACACCTGGGTTTTAGGAAACACCTTAATCGGAAAGCCCAGAATTTCTGACAATTACTAAAACCTGATCTATCTAACTTTTCGGAATATTTTCTGGGAATTTTGATGGTCCGAGGAAATGGCCCCCGAACGCTCGCATAAACCGCGAACTTGAAATTACATTTTCTAAAACATAGGTATCGTTCAGCACGTTTTGAAAGCGGGATCTTGCTCTGACATTTCGCTCTATCGAACTAGCTAGGCCCAGGCCTGGGAAATCGAACTAGCTAGGCCCAGGCCCGGGCCGGCCCGGCCCCGGGCCGGCCCTACATTTTGACCTTAACTACCGTCATTCATCAGAGGAGTCCTAACATAAGCTGAGAGTACGTTTTGATGTCTCAGGTCATGCCAAATGGCATTGCAGTGATTTCAGATTGTTTCCGGTAGAAAAAAGCAAAAAGCAAAAAATTGACCTCGGGCGGGGTCGAACCCGGGTCGTTTTCCTGGTAAGCAATTTTGATCAAAAATTTATTTTTTTTTGGTTGAAGCTGTGTAGATAGATAGCGTAATCTCTATACATGTAAAAATAATAAATATTATCGATACATAATAGCATTTAAATATATTTCAGATTCGTTCAGGAAGGTCGGGCCGGCCCTGCTTTTCCCAAGGCCGGCCCCGGCCCGGCCCGGCCCGCCAAAACCGCCAAAATTTGGGCCCGGGCCGGCCCTAAAAATTCCCAGGCCTGGGCTAGGCCCATCCCGAAACTCCCAAAGCCCCTAAAAACGAAGAAAGAGGAAAAGAATCGGGGGGTGTCGCGGGGTGTCGCATAATTTTATAATTCGAGACTATCTTATTAGGGAATTTCGGCGTAATAGATTCCGCGTAATGGACTTTTTATCCAATGATTTTCTGCGGAACGGATCTTTGTGCCTTCAAATTTCGGCGTACAAATGAAATTTCGGTGTAATGTACTCCGTTGTATGACTCTGTGCGTCATGAATTTTCGGCCAAATGAGATTTGCTTAATAGATTTTTGCGTCTTGAATTTTCGCTGTATGGTTCGTTTGCCACTTGTCTCCCGTCAAAACCGCTGGCTAACTTTTGAAACAAAGATTAACTTGGAGGCGAATTCAGAAATAGATTTCCAATTTCAAGGTTGCAACACACTTACAAGCCAGCGTCTGGATCGGTAATGTTTCGCAGCATCGACATCAGCTCTTCTACGGACTTGGGGCGTGCTGTAAAAGTAAATATTTTACGAAAAGAATCTTAGAAAATCTTGTCGGGGGCGCACAATTCGAGTTTTCAATGACCGATTTGGGCAACGGTTCGAACTTTAAAATAAACCTTGAATTCTTTGCAAAAAAATTCAGCAACGAACCATTCGTAAGTCGGCTGATTTCCGGATAAGCCAGCAGATTCACGCTATGGGAGATGCCAATCAAGTACCCTATAACTATATTGTCGATTTGAAATACAGGGTGTCCCGAAAAAAAGGAGACCGGCCGCATTTCTCCATTTCAAGTACGCTTGACTTGCAAATTAGCTCAGAGGTAGAAAGCTAATTTCCCAAGAACATTGAAAGTTTCCGCCCGATCGGCCGGCGGGTTTGAAAGTTATAACGCAAAATATTTTTGGTGAAAAAGTAGTAACTTAGTGATAGTACAAAATATTATTTTTATTTAATATGGGGGACTTCCGCAATTTGCATCAAAAATTTGCGTAATTTTCCATTTAAACAAGTTTGTTTTGCTAAATTTTGGCCGAAAAATGTTTTGTTTTTTTTGTGTTTTGTCTTGCGCTTCGCAAGAAGCCCAAGGCCCGGAAGGTTTTTGAAAAGCCTAGTTTTCGATAACTTCGCTTGGTGAGCAGAACTTCTTGATCTCCTAGAACTGATCCTTCATAGTCGCACTTTATCCATTTTAAATTAATTCAGACTTACGTGCTCGGACCTGTTTGAGCTCCTCTGCCACGGTGAAGCTGGGCGCTGGCACTGCAAAAAGCATAGAACCATTTCAAAAAAATCGCACAAAATCCACGTCGCAAAAGTGGGTAATTTTTAGGATGCAATGTCACTTACGAGAGCTTTCGATCTGCCTAAGGGCTTTTTCGGCCGCATTGGCACGGTTGACCTGGGCCTTGGTGCTTATCTTGCAGTTTATGACGAAGTGCTTCGCGATTAGCTGAAACAATTGATTTGATACGATGGTTAATGCGGATGACGGCGTCAGGCCCACCCCGGTAGTTACATCTACTTGAAAAGCTAACCGAATGGGCATTACTAGCATTGGCCGGTATAGTCACAGTGGCGATGCGCAAGATCTTGAAATGGTCAAGCTAGGTTATTTAAAGCTGTAAGTAAGTTCCGGTAGATCAGGCTCATCTACAGGGTGTCCCAAAAAAGTACCCCCCCCCCTCTAGCAGCGCGGAGGAAGCTCGGATCGGGCTGATTTTTACAGCATTCGAAAGATCTCGGAACGGCGAGAAAACAAGCGGGATTTGTTTTTTTAAGATTTAAGCTCATTCCATCGACATTTAACGTTTTTCAAAAAAGCGGGTAATTTTCAACACGATTGCGCAATTAGCATTGCGCATTGGACGTAAAATGCGCAAATAAAAATACATAGTAAAGAAATCGAACCCTCCTTGTTTGCTCGCCTTTTCGAGAGCTTTCTCTTCTTTCATACCTGAATCGTGAGAATCGGACACGATTGCACGCCGCTCGGGGGGGCTTCCTGGATCTTTGCAAAATTTGGCTGGATTCGCGCGCCAAACATCTCATATCAATAAATCAGCGCACTAATGAGAGGATGGTAGGTGTGAGGGCAGATGTGATAACCGATGCCCTCAGGGTATGTTTTGGCCGCGGAAAGGGCCTTTTTGCAGTCGCGAGTTCGCAACATCTGCGTGATTGCAGGAGTCCAGGTAACTCTGGGAAAAATGTGTGCCATTCCTTTAAGAAAAGATTTTGTCCTTACTTGGATCGTGAACTGGTGATCCAGCTCCTCGCAACGTTTCTTGAAGGATTCGCGCTGGGTATACATCCGTTCCGGGCGCTTGATCATATCATCAAAGTGAGCTTCAAATCTTGATAGTCTGTCTTTCACGTCCTGAGTTTAGCAATATCAAATGAAATACTACGGTATTCATACCGTAAACCAGCTGCGCCGGGCATTCAGGTAGTTGGCGTAGCGGAAACCCTCCATTTGATGCCGTAGTAGCTCTACAAACACTCATACAATTCCGTTTTCTCTTTTTCGTAAACGCGGTTTATTTTGGTGTGCTCGGTGCCGTGTATCTATGTGCTGATAGTTGCGTCAGAATCGGTCTGCATGGCCAGCTGACAAGGGAAGAGTTTTCACTTTGGAAATACCTTGTCAGTAAATTAAAAACTTACGTTCCATCTTCGCCTCCAGGCGGTTGGCAAGGTCTTTGATGGCCTGAAGTTCCTGGCTTTCGGGCTAAATCAAGATTACAGGGTATCTCAAAATTATCCGGATCGTTTTAAATCCGTTTTCTCCCGATTTTTGCCGACTTCAACGCCCAAGTCCGATTTTTCATCTTTTCCAGGGGTTATTAGGTCAACGTTATCTAAAAATCTGGACAAAGGAACTGTACGATTTTGCTAATGCAGCGAAGAAAGTGAAAAGTTAGTGTTGATGCCCGTCTTCAAACAGATCGTCCGGGTTCGACGACTAACGCGTCGGTCCGTCACGCCGACGGACGTGGCGCCATCTTTTCCCAGCCCATTAATGGCAAAACACCGGAAAGTCTAGAGATTTCGAAAGATTTAAGTCTGTTTTGCAAAAAAATGATTCGTAACTTGACATTCCGTTGTCACTAAAAAGGGTATCCGTGTCCGATCTGCATCGAATGTGGATGGGATTGAGATACGCTCTACCGTAGCCAATGATTTCAATTCGCGCTTACCTGGAGAGCTGCTTTTAGTCCAATCGCTATCAACCCGCCAATCGGCCCGCCGAGGCTCATAATGCTGTCGGCTTTCGTCGACAACTTCTGGAGCCGCTCGAGGGCTTCGAAGCCATTTTGGCTCACCTCCTTCCATACGTTGATCCAATCCTCGACATTTGACGAAGCTAAAACCCGTTAAATTGTGGCAGTTTGCAGTTGCTATTTTTTTTCGGGGTATCCGACTAATAGATTAAATCAAAAGCTTTTCCGGAATATAGAAAAAAAGAAAGTAAGTGTTTGGAAACCGGGTGTGGGCGATAACCAGCGATAAACTTACCGTTCTTGCTCGCTGGTGTCCCAAGGACGAAAAAGATTCCCAGTAGGGCGATGGGGCGCCAATCCATTCCCACTTCCTTGCTCGATCACGGCCGCAACGAGTTTTTGTGGACCTATGAGGAAGATTATAATAAAAAAAGAAGCAGAAAACACGAATAAGCACATGCAACTTGAAGTTATATTTCAAAACGGCTTCCTTGGCCCAGGGTTTTATAACAAGGCCCTAAATGCGAGAGGAAGAAGCCTGGCAAAATGTTGAATTTGGCGGTGGAAGGGTCCCTGGATGCACCAGAATGCCCATTGTGGCCAGGTCGGGGGGCATTCCAGGGCTTGTTTTACTTCCAGCAGCCACAACGTTTTATCCGGCGCATTGATGGTCGGCAAAACCTAAATGGGTTTGTTTTACTGGAGCAGCCATAACATTTTATCCGGCTGTTGGTCGTCAAAACCAAAATGCAATCGGCCTCGCCGATGTTGCCCATGAGAAAGAAAAACACAACCGTTGCGTTTCAGGGCCTCCGGCTTTGCCGTCCTCGCGAAATAAGAAATGAAGGAAAAGTGGCATATCAGGGGTTGGGGTTTTTCTTTAGGATCGATTCGTCTTGGTCCCATTTCTGTCCAGGTTTCAATTATCAACGATATGTAGAAAAGAATTTAAGGGAATTCATTTGACATAAAAAAAATTAAAAACCCTTGCGAATTTCGCGACATAGGCAGGTTTTTGAAACATTTGATCCTTTCAAAATTGTCGGTAACAATCTGAAATAGTTAAATTCTACGAAATAAACGGGACGATAAATGATTTGTTTAATAGAACCGCAATTTAATAAACGGGTAAACGTGGCTTAACGGGGGAACCATTGTTGTATTTATAAAGAATATCCTGTTATTTTGAAAACGCCATCGGACATACCCTCGAAAATTATACCAAGACACAGCAAACAAAAAAAATAGCAGATTAGCATAAGCCCAGCCCGCTTCAGCCCACTCACAAAAAATGGTTTTTTATTGATACTGGAGTTTCGATATGGGATCAAGCCTATTTGGTACGGAATTTGACGCTGATTCCAAATTCGTTTGCAAAAGGGCTGAAGAACCAATTAGGTGTTTTAGCACCAAAAAGGGTCGGGTTGAATCTCCTCAAAAATCTCGTAGGACAACGGGGGGTCATGCAGTCAATAATAAATAAAATGGAAAAAATCTGCATTTTGGACTCCGAAAGAAAAAGTAAGGAACCGTTATACAAACATTGGGGGCCAGCTGGGGGGGGTATCTGGTGTTCAGCCGTTGTCTTTGCAAAAACTCTGCATGACTGAGGAGCTAAACTTTTCGCTCAAGAGGAAACTATTTAGCCACTACCGGTATACCAAGACCCGTCCGGCCCGCTCGGCAGCCCATAGCATTCGGTCCGCTAATTTTATGCAAATTGGGCAGTCAACTCATCCGCTCCAGGGCGGGCTGTCCTTGCCCGTCCGTGAACAACCCTGCCCGCTATACCGTATCTCATCGAACTCGTTTAGAGAAGTTCTAACCGGCCTATATCCTAGCCTGAGAAGCGGTCGTAATTTGAAAATCGGGACCATGAATTTTGCGCAACGAATTTTCGGCAACTCGAGAGATAGGGGAAACGGAGAGACGCAGACGTAGTTTGTAGTTGCCGAAAATTCGTTCCCATGGAGTTGCGCAAAATTCGTTGCGCAAAATTCATGGTCCCTGAAAATCACTGTCTGTGGCTCACCCCTGGTACGGGTTCAATTTATATCTCGCCTCCAATCACAAGAAAATGGTCTCAGCCGAGATCGAATTGCGATTTTAAAATTGATCAGTTAGAGAACTCAACGGACTTTTAGCTGTTGATAGAGTATCCGGTTCGAATTACTTTAATCCGGTTCTGAATTTTTACCTACTTTCATTTCACTTGGCCTAACGGCGTGCAAAAGCTAGATCGAAACTTAAAGTCGCTCTGTTGTCTTAATCTTCTTGTTAGAGTTCGTGAGGATTGATTATACCCGATGCAGCGGCCATCTGCCCATCTGAATGCAACATTTTCCACCAGCTGGCGGCCCTAAAATCTTCTGTTTTGGGCCCCGGCGCCCCGGGATAGAGGGGATAACTGCGACCCCCTAATGTCAAATAGCCTATGGTGCACAAACTTCGATCCCGATTCTGAATTCGTTTACAAAATTTGATATCTCGAAAGACTTTGCAGAAGGCGTTGAGTAAGGTGCGTGTTTGGGTTTTGCGTCTATGATGATGTGGCATCGGGTGATGATGATGCTGGCGCTGTTGTTACCACAAATTGCGACGAGCGTCAAGGGGCAAAACTGTGAGTTTGGTCACAAGTTCCGTCTTTTTTGTGCCTTTTGATTACTCAAGAAAAAATCTAGGAGGTTGTTACGGTGGCGGGCCGGACAGTCAGAACTTTTCGTGACCCGGCTAACCCAAATTTCCGCACCGCCCTATCGGATTTTCCCGTTTAATTATCTCATGAAAAAAATCAGAAATCACGCGCCGCTGGACGATTTTAGCCGGAAAATCAGAGGGAGATCGGGCGAACTCGCCGCACGTTTGGTCCAACATTGGACCTTAACGGTTTGAAGTCGGACTGCCCCGCTCTGAGCTGGGAAAAATGGGGTCATCGAGCAATAACCGTTTTGATGCCATCAAATGGTTATAAAAATCCAAAATTTTCAGTTTCGGAGGAATTCTCAGAATACATGGCTGCCTGGGGCGCGATCCGACCGGGTGTTGATGCCATTGAAAGGGGCCGAAAATTCGCTGGGATGATCGATACGATCCTGAAAATGGGAGAGCCGATCGGAACGCTTCTCCTAAAAAGTGTCCAGACGACGCTTGAGGTTGGTCTTGTCAAGTCGTTCTTTATTAGGTTTTACCGGTGGGACGGTGAGCTGTCGCAACCGGATCAATTTCCTTTTTTTAGGCCGACAGCCCGGAGGTGCAGGCGGGCAATGAGTTCGCCGTGTGGATGAAGGAGCGGGACCAAAGTTTGTCTAAATTCACCTTATCTTTTTTTTTATCGTTTCCCTTATTCTTTTGTTCTAGGAATACGTTGTTTGCCTGATTGCGGGCTACATTTTGGTGCTACTTACCATGTATCTGTAACGGTGTAACTGCATTTTGACTTTTTGGCCATTTTTAGAAATTTTGATGAAAAATCAACAAAATTTTGAAAATTTCTAGTATCGTTTACGAGCTTTTCATACTTAAAAACTCTGTAAGCAGCATATAAAAATTTTCATGCCTTGCAATTTTTAAATTTTAATTTTACACAGGGGTGTCCCAAACACCCCCCCCCCCCCCCCCTACGTAGCGCTCCGCAGTCGTGGGCGATTTTTACGATTTAGGTATCTATCGAAGGCTCTCAAAAAGGCGAGTCCAGCACGCTACGCCGCTTCTCAAATTTTGACATTGTTCTTACATTTACATATATTTTTTGCGAAAAGTGCGGATTTCCTGATGCGTTTCTGCTCAAAGGTTTTCCCAAAAAAAGGAATTTAAGGTTTTTATGCCGTTCCTGGCAGCCGACGACGTCATGCCGACGTTGCAAAAGACGGTGTGACGTGCTGGACTCGCCTTTCCGAGGGCTTTCGATAGATACCTAAATCGTAAAAATCGGACACGACCACGGACCGCTAGGTAGGGAGGGTTTTTTGGGGCACCCTGTACGTATTTTAAAATAAAATTTTAAAAAGAAGGTAAGACTCTAAAAGGTAGATTTTCTAGCCTGCGATATTCTGAAAAGTTTTCCTAAACGCGAATTTCGGCATGGCGAGGTTTTGTATTGTTTCAGAAATGGTAAAGATTGCGCATTCAACCGGTTTCGTGTGGGATGATCAGACGGTCTATGATTGGAATTCGGTATGAAGAGCATAGCATCGCGCTTAATACGTATCTCCCACTCTCAGGCCATCCGAAACCGCTTCATCCCCGTTCAAACCATGTTCAAGCTACGGTTTTTACTTCCGGAACCGGCCGACGTAAATGAAGATTTTCTAAAAGTCTGCCGGAAATTTGACTACTTCGAAAAGTTGCGGGTAAGTGGAAAATTTACGTGAGCCCATCAAGCATATATTTATTTTTCTAAACTTCAAAATCCTAAAACTTCTAGGGAACTCTAAAAGTTTCTAAGCTCATTTTTCCTGAAATTTGTCATGTAAATAGGGAAGCGTTTCTACAACCGTTTTTCTACAGGTAATTGCGAAGTATTTCGTTGACGCCTGCCCGATGCCCACTTTGGTCCGTGTGCAGCGTACCGTCAACGCCCTCAAGGCGTTCAGACGTATCGAAGCGAAATGTACGTTTGAAAGATATCTGGTTCTAATCAGTAAGAGATTTTTGAAAAATCATTTATCACTTGAAGCAGCTTAGAAATGGCTTAGAAAGCTGAAAAAAAATCATTTTCCGGTAATATTTTATGTTTTCAGCGCCAAAGATGATGCCGGAATTGATGGCAGACTATCACGTCCACAAGTCTAGTAACGCTTTATGGTAGCTGGGATTACTTTTCATTTCCAGAATACATCCTCAACTTGACCAGTGATACGGAGCTGATCAATATGCTTCGTCAGGGTACGTTAATTAAGCGAAAAAAGTGCCCCAAATTTTAGAGAAATTTTAGAATAGATTTAATTGCGAATAAACACGAAATATTCTAGAAAAATCGAAATTTTTAAGGCAAAATTGATTTGTTGGGGCCGCTTGAATTACATGTCGTATTCCCCTGAAAGGCACCCAATCTCTCGATCTCGGCGATTCTCTGATCAATTTTCATAATTAAAAAGTCGAGAATGATCAAAATTCGGTGAGGATTCCAGAAACAGCGCTAAGAATTTTGAAATTCAAGCGTTTTCGCTTCAAACAGGGCAAAAGATCATGCTGCGCGGTCGCGTTGCGGCCGCATGTGGCTATTTGCCAGGTCTCAACGCCGAGGGGCGTGGGCCAGCCTTCGTTGCCTATTTAGGCTTCTGAGGCAGCCTTTTACGGTCTACTTCTGGTTGCCATGTTTTAATTGCCATACTTCCTTTTTACAGAAAAACCCGAGAGCATCGAGCAGCTGGAGGTGATCTTCTTGTGTGAGTTTTTAGGGCCGAAAATTATGGTGATTTAGATATGCCAGACCTTACACTGCTGCCGATTGGGTAAGGTTAAAGCGAGAGAGCGAGAAGGAGAGAGAGAGAGAGCCAGAGACAGAGAGCGAGAGAGAGGTGAGAGCGTGAGAGAGAGAGGGGGGAGAGAGCGGGTGTGAGAGTGAGGGAGAGAGGGAGAGAGATGGAGCGAGATGGAGAGAGGAAGACATACAGAGAGAGAGAGAGAGAGAGAGAGAGAGAGAGAGAGCGAGGGAGATAGAGAGACAGAGAGACAGAGGGAAAGCGAACTTTAGCTGCGCCTCGGATGCCCTCTACCAGCTCAACCGCGCATCCCGCTCCACGCTTGACCATCAAATGTTGGTCTTGGAGGAGACACTGAGAAAAGTGGTACGTTGCATACAGGACTTTAAAAATGTTTTTCTGTTTACAAAGCATTTTTATAATTTGAGATGTTCTACACAGCTGCTTGTCTGAACGTGGTCCACGATGGCGATCAGGAGAAAATGGACTCGGATCGATCCGAGATCGCAAAAATCATTTCCGAAATCGTGAGATACACGACGAATTGGATGGAGAAGACTGAGGTAGATTTTTTATAGGAGCTTCAAAAGGGGTAAAGAGAAAATAGGCTCCGAAAGCTGGCCCACGTTTCTCAGCGTTGATTCCGGGCGAATAGCCAGAAGCGGCCGCAACGCGACCGCGCCGCATGTCCTTTTGCCTCTATTTCGACGTGAAAACGCCTGAATTTCAAAATTCCGACGCTATTTCTGGAATCCACACCGAATTTTGATCATTCTCGACTTTTTAATTATGAAAATTCACCAAAGAATCGCCGAGATCGAGAGATTCGGTGCCTTACAACGCATTACGACATGTAATTGCCGTCCACGCAAAAAGGTGTTTGCGCCCCGGCTTTTTTATTATATACTTTATTTTACTTTTTTTGCAACAAAATTAATTTTTGGTACTTCTCCGTTGAGACCCTTTCGTTCTTGGACCAGTAGGTTCAAACCCGGGAACGCTTTTCATGGTCTTTTTTCCGCTTCTAGTAATTTTTTTAACGTTATTTAAATTTTTTAGAATTCTCCAGGTGAAGGGCGACATTTTGGTATATTTTAGAGCCCTGTAGCTCCAAAGGGAGCGAATATATAAGCTTTCCAAGTTTAGCCTATGGCCCCTTGCTGGAGCTATGGCATTAAACCCATACAAAAAAATTTTGAAAACCAGCGGGGGAGGAGCCGCTTCGCGACTCTCCCCCGCTGGACCCCGTCTAGGCCCTATGAATCGAGCGCCCTTCCACATAAAGTTACCCTGAAGAAAGAAAAACACATCTCTCATGCAAACCTCTTTGTATGGACATGCGGCGCAAGCTTAAATCGCTAGTGTCGTTATTAGGCCCGCGGCGCATGCTTGATCGGCCAGGTCTTCATCCAGCGGCGCCAGCTTGAGCGGCTAGCTTCATTCTAAAGCCTGCGGCGCTAGCTTGAGCGGCTAGCTTCGTTCTAAAGCCTGCGGCGCAAGCTTGAGCCTCCTTATCCCGCGGCGCAGTTTTGAAGGGCTAGCTCTGACCTTGGGCCTGCGGCGCTAGCTTCCCCGGCTAGCTTCCTTCCGCAGCCTACGGCGCTAGTTTCAGGGGCCGGCCTGAACCTTTATCCTGCGGCGCTAGTTTCGGCGGCTAGCGTCGTTCCAAAGTCTGCCGCGCTAGCTTGAGCAGTTAGCTTGATTCCTTGGCCTGCGGCGCATGCTTGAACGGCTAGCTTCATTCTATAGGCTGCGGCTTGAGTGACTAATTTCATAATAACGTCCCGACACGGAATCCACTCCAAAACGCACTTTCCGAGCAAAAAAAGCAAAACAACTAAGATATCCGAGGATCGAACCTCCGATGGTTAGATTAGCAAGGCGAAGCGCTAACCACTACACCATGCAATGCTTGTCAGCAGGCGTCAACACCCGTTTTATGCCTCAAGAGGACAGCCCGGGGCAGGGGAAGGAAAAGCATCAAGAGGCAGCTCCAAAGAGACGACCAAACTCGCGAGTGCAACTCGCAAGAATGAGGAAATTTGTATTTTTTCACATTATGCAAATTAGCCCGCCCGGACCCCCAAAAATCAATAAAACCGGCTTTAACTTTGTAAACTTGTATTTTATCGGGATTCTGAAAGCGCCATCGGAAAGAGGAGGGTCGATTCCCCCGGGTGACGGGGAATTAGGGCATTTTGGACACGGGAAGGACCTCAAATCGGTCCTCGAAAGTGTCGGCCGGACACACACACAGACAAAGATACGCGACCAAATTATATAAGGTAGGATTTTTGAGGTTAGGTAACCAATTTAATCTAGGCGTTGAATCACGGCGAACATTTTGAGATACTTGGTGCATTAATAGGATATATGGCTGCCAAGATATGCCAATATTCTAGGAGCTCTCCTGGCCACTGCTACAGATGGAATACGCGTACGAAGCGCTTCAGCAGGGGAAGCCTACGACCCCTGAAACGGCAGCTGCTGCCGTGCAAAAGATCTTTCAAGGCCGCGGAGCGAAACGGTAGATTTTGCAAAAAAAATAGAATCGAAGTTTTTAACTAACGCCCGGAAATAATTTTCTAGAAAAAATGCGCTTGCTTTTTCAGGTTCTCCTACCACGTTTTTGCCCATCCATCGGGTTGGGAACGCGACAGTGTCTACCACGTCTTCAACACCACCGTATACAATTATGTGGAAATCCCGGAAGTGGCCGGATACACGATACACGTCTTTCGCGCCGAACCCGACGTGAAGGATTTTTGTGAACGGGTCGACAACGCGACACAACTTCTGGAGGAGAAGCGGGAGGAGTTGGACGCGATGTTTAGGTGAGAAAAAAAAATTAGAGAAACGTATCTGGATAAGCGAAAAGTAGCAAAGGTCCAGGACCGAGTGTTTTGTAATTATTTGATTTGCCGTCTGGTTCCTCAATCAGTCTTACAAGGGCAATTTGCGAAACGATAGTTCAATCGGATATTGATCGGCCTGACCTCTAGACCAGTTTTTCCGCGGATACCGAATTTGCACTCTGTTATTGGCCACAGAATCTTAGTTTTTGAGATCAACGGTGTTTTCTGTAGTGGTTTAGGCTTCGGCTTTCGTTCGTGAAAGCGGCTCCGAAATGTGGTCCACGCGCCTCAGCGTTGATTCCTGGCAAATAGCCAGCTGCGACCCCAATGCGACCGCGCGCATGAACTTTTGCCCCTGTTTGGACGTCAAAACGCTAGAATTTCCCAATTCTGACGTGATTTCTGTTATCCTCATGAAATTTGGATCATTCTAGACTTTTTAGTTCTAAAAAATGGTCCCAGAACTGCCGAGATCGAGAGATCGGGTGCCCTACAAGGCATTACTACATGTAATCGTCGCCCATCCAAAAAGTCGTTCCCCCCAAGAACTTTTCGGTTTTACTCAAATATTTTACGTTTTTCGCAACAAAATGAGTTTGCTGGTACTTTTGCAGTGACCCATTCGTTTTTTGACCAGTAGGTTCAATCCCCGCACGCGCGAATTTTGACCTCCGAGCCCCTTTAATCAAAAACCGGAAGTGCTCGGGCGCAAGTAAAAAAAGTCTAGACAGGTCGCGCTATTCCCGATACGACTGGAACGTCGTTTGCGACCTGGGCGTTTTTTATAGCCCCTTCCGTAACAGTCTGGTTGAGAACCCTAAATTCGAAATTTCAGGCATTCAGAAGACTCGGCAAAAGCTCGAGGTATCGTCGATCGCTGGGTCCACTCTCTCGATCTGATGGGTGATGGGGGCTACACTGCCGGATTGTTCGTCCGAAATGAGAATATATTTTGTGATGGAGCTTCTATATCTATGGGCCAAAACTTCACCTCAAGTCCATCTACCTCAAATAATTCCCTCGTGTCCCAGAGCCGATTCCTTGAACGTCGCTACCTCAATTGTTTTTACCGTCAACTGTCGCTTCTGGTGCTGTAAAGGGGCAGAAACTATGCTCAAAAAACTATATTTTAATGCTTTGTTTATAATTATCTTGTTGAAGGGAATAAGCACTGTATTTTTTTGCCTTCCTACACACCCTTTCGGGCCGCGACACGTAACGCGCATGCCACGCAGGCGCTCAAATTTTTCGAAAATTGCATAATTTTATATGCTCTATACTTTTTTATTTCAGCAATGCGAAATGTCAGCCAATTTCATTGCGCGTTGCGGGTCGACGGGCCTCGTGAAAAATTGTTCCACGGGGAATCCATAGCCCCAAAATCCATAGCGGTGCCTTGCCCGTCCCTTTACAGCACATTTTTCACGTCGAAAAAAACATTTTCTGAAAGTGTTTTTTTTTGTTTATACACCGCAACAATTAATTCTGGGATATTTTTGCCCTGGCGCGAATTTTACATGGCGTAATCGATTGGTCTCAGAAAAGTTGAGGCTCGGCGCTCAGCCGATCATTTTAGCAAAATCGTATTTGTAATTTTTGTTTTCTTTATGGAACTCGGCTCAACTAAAAAAAACTCAAAAAAGGTATTGAAATAATTTTTACAGGAAAATTCATCAAAACTCGGGTTTGAGGTTTTAGATTTACATGGCGTAATCGATTGCGATGGCCCGAATTTTCCTCTAATTTCGCGAGTTCTCAAGAATCTTTAGTTGCGGCCAGCCAGCCAGCCAGCTGGCCGATTGCCCAAATGTTTTTCACACACAAAGCCGTGGAAGAGAAAGTATGGGAAAGCGAGAGAGGGCAGAGAAACAGAGCGAAAAACGGGAAGGCAATATGGCCACACAACAAACAGATCCCCTCCCCCTGTCCCATCCCCCCGACCATCGCCCTGCTGACTGGGGCATTACGTTGCGTAACACGGGCGTTAACGAGGTTTTTTGTGTATTTTTAGCTTTGTAATTAATTTTAATTTTTGGAAAATGGATTTATCTATTTTTTTACTGGTTTCTTAGCCAATAAATGATTTTCCGCCAGTTTAAAAAGTAAAATTCGGCCGTTTTTTGCAAATTTTTAAAGCTCGGGGCCAATTTTGTCGATTTAAAGGTTTTGATAAGGCCAAATCTGCTAGTGTTCACCTCTGAAACTGCTAAAATTCTGAAAAATCTTTTTTCCTTGGATTTTTGAGCGTCCAGAGCAATTTCTTGACTAGTATTACAGTGCGTAATACAAAGGCTTTAACGAGGGTTTGTTTATGTATTTTTTAGCTGTTTTGATACCTTTAAAGGCTTAGAAAATCTAATGCTAAATTTGTTCTGAATTCCTGGTTCCATTAAAGAATTTTCCGCCAGTTTAACAAGTAAAACTCGGCTGTTTTTTTGCTTTCGAAACCGTCTAAAATTTCTGAATTTTTAAAATATCTTTAAAATATCTTTTTTTTGGTTTGAAATTAATCTGAGTTTGTAAGTTTGTTAAAACGACTGTCACAGTCTGTCGATTTAAAGGTGTACGGAAGTCGAAAATTGGCTAAACACCAGGAACCTGGAAATTGGAACAATTTTTTGATTTTTAACTTTCAAAGCAGCTTTTTTGCGTGTTTAACAAGCTTAATCCAGTCCGTTTTTGCTGATTTTCAAAACAGGGTTTTTATTTCCTGATTTCAAGGCATTGAGAAGTCAGAAATGTCCAAATATCTTCGGAAATTTGTAAAAAGTAAAAATTTTTGTTTTCCTGCAATCGTTTCTCTTCAGTTTTCTCAAATTTCGCGGTCATTTTTAACTTAATCGTGTTTTTTGAGCTCGACTCCCGTTCCATTCGGCACCTATCGACACACCGCGGCGGAGAGAGGACTATCGCGTTCGGCGTAAATTAATGCTAATCCCGGGGGTCGGCGAGCGCTTATCAGTGTCCTCTCAAATATGCCATCCAATCCCCGACCCCCACTGCCCTCCATTCCATCTGGTGAGTTCCGAATTTTTCGAGAATTTTTTGCGAAAATTGGCTTTTTTGCTGAATTTTCTTACATCAAGTGGTCTCTGCTAGCTTGCCTGTCAGATAAATCGATTTTTGCCAATTTCAGCCCCAGTTTTGTTAAATGGTCTCTGCTGGTTTGCCACAATTTGACGGGCTGATCTGGCCATATCCCCAAATTTTCTCTGCTAGTTTGCTCAGCGAGCCTACCCTCAAATTGTTTCTGCTAGCTTGCCAAGTGTTTTTGTGCGATTTCTCTAATGGTTTCTGCTAACGCTTTCGCTAAATTTCATTGATTTTGTGTCACCCGCGTTCGGATAAATTTTCTAAAGCGGTTTTGCTAGGATCCCATCAGATTGAATGCTCTCCGCTCGCTTGCCTGGCTATCAGATTATCCGTTTTTTCATTTCCCGCAAAGTGCCCGCTTCCGGGTTTCGGCAATAATCCTTTTTGCAACCCCTTTCTAAATTCCGTCACTTTTCTATGATCCGAATGATCGGAAAAGGGCTAAAAAAGCGGTGAGTGTGAATGAGTGTGGATGGATGTTTTGTCTGGCCGCACTTTCCATTCTTTTCCCTCTTTCTCTGTCTATCGTTTTATTTTGAACATATCACTCTTCCGATTTTTTTTGACGCCGAGGTGTCGCGTGGAATTTTCTGCGGCTTGTTTTCATTCATCAACCATACTGTTGATATTCTAACAACGTTTCAAAGCTCAAATTAACGAAAGTCACTTTAGAGATTTGAATTTAAGCTTGTTCTTTGCTTTGTTTTTTCAATCTTTGCGCGAATTTTTAGTCACAATGGACCTATCTCAAAATCGTAAATAACCAAAATAGATATATGGCATCAAATAAGAATTTCCCACTATTGATGAATTTTGCAGACTCGAAAATAATGTGGCCGCTGATCAGCGCCGACCTCGACGAATTTCACCCGGCCCCGAAGATGAATCGATTCGGGAAGAAGCTGCTGAAAGTGGCGTTGACTGGGGGACCGTGTGCAGGTTGGTTACAGTCCCTTAAATTGTATTTAATGGCGTAATCGTTTCGAAAAATCCAGGTTTGATTTTAACTTTTGACTCTGGCTGCCAGTTGACACTTTGCAGCCTTTAAAACCACAAAAATTCATTGGCATTTTGAGATTTTAACGATTTCTCGGTAAATTTCATGGCGCGATCGATTGCAGGTAAATCGACGGCTATGCAAGAGCTTTGCGAGCGGATTGATGAAGAATTCGGAAACGAGTGGCAGGTGGGAGAATTATTTTCAAAGTTCCTCTGCTAGCCTGCCCCGCCCACCCCTCCAATTCCTCAAAGAATCTCTGCTAGCCTGCCCCCGTCTATCCCCTCCAATTCCTCAAAGAATCTCTGCTAGCCTGCCCCGTCCATCCCCTCCAATTCCTCAAAGAATCTCTGCTAGCCTGCTCCCGTCTATCCCCTCCAATTCCTCAAAGAATCTCTGCTAGCCTGCCCCTCCATCCCCTCCAATTCCTCAAAGAATCTCTGCTAGCCTGCCCTCTCCATCCCCTCCAATTCCTCAAAGAATCTCTGCTGGCCTGCCCCGTCCATCCCTCCAATTCCTCAAAGAATCTCTGCTAGCCTGCCCCGTCTATCCCTCCAATTCCTCAAAGAATCTCTGCTAGCCTGCCCCGTCCACCTCCAATTCCTCAAAAGAATCTCTGCTAGCCTGCCCCGTCCATCCCTCCAATTCCTCAAAGAATCTCTGCTAGCCTGCCCTCTCCATCCCTCCAATTCCTCAAAGAATCTCTCTAGCCTGCCCCGTCCATCCCCTCCAATTCCTCAAAGAATCTCTGCTAGCCTGCCCTCCATCCCTCCAATTCCTCAAAGAATCTCTGCTAGCCTGCCCCGTCTATCCCTCCAATTCCTCAAAGAATCTCTGCTAGCCTGCCCCGTCTATCCCCTCCAATTCCTCAAAGAATCTCTGCTAGCCTGCCCCGTCCATCCCCTCCAATTCCTCAAAGAATCTCTGCTAGCCTGCCCCCGTCCATCCCTCCAATTCCTCAAAGAATCTCTGCTAGCCTGCCCCGTCCATCCCCTCCAATTCCTCAAAGAATCTCTGCTAGCCTGCTCCCGTCTATCCCCCAATTCCTCAAAGAATCTCTGCTAGCCTGCCCCGTCCATCCCCTCAATTCCTCAAAGAATCTCTGCTAGCCTGCCCCCGTCCATCCCCCTCAATTCCTCAAAGAATCTCTGCTAGCCTGCTCCCGTCTATCCCTCCAATTCCTCAAAGAATCTCTGCTAGCCTGCCCCGTCCATCCCCCAATTCCTCAAAGAATCTCTGCTAGCCTGCCCCCGTCCATCCCCTCCAATTCCTCAAAGAATCTCTGCTAGCCTGCCCCCGTCTATCCCCTCCAATTCCTCAAAGAATCTCTGCTAGCCTGCCCCCGTCCATCCTCCAATTCCTCAAAGAATCTCTGCTAGCCTGCCCCGTCTATCCCCTCCAATTCCTCAAAGAATCTCTGCTAGCCTGCCCCCGTCCATCCCTCCAATTCCTCAAAGAATCTCTGCTAGCCTGCCCCGTCCATCCCCTCCAATTCCTCAAAGAATCTCTGCTAGCCTGCCCTCTCCATCCCCTCCAATTCCTCAAAGAATCTCTGCTAGCCTGCCCCCGTCTATCCCCTCCAATTCCTCAAAGAATCTCTGCTAGCCTGCTCCCGTCTATCCCCTTCAATTCCTCAAAGAATCTCTGCTAGCCTGCCCCCGTCTATCCCCTCCAATTCCTCAAAGAATCTCTGCTAGCCTGTCCCCTCCATCCCCTCCAATTCCTCAAAGAATCTCTGCTAGCCTGTCCCCTCCATCCCCTCCAATTCCTCAAAGAATCTCTGCTAGCCTGTCCCTCCATCCTCCAATTCCTCAAAGAATCTCTGCTAGCCTGCCCCCTCCATCCCCTCCAATTCCTCAAAGAATCTCTGCTAGCCTGCCCCCGTCCATCCTCTCCAATTCCTCAAAGAATCTCTGCTAGCCTGCCCCCGTCCATCCCCTCCAATTCCTCAAAGAATCTCTGCTAGCCTGCCCTCTCCATCCCCTCCAATTCCTCAAAGAATCTCTGCTAGCCTGCCCCCGTCCATCCCCTCCAATTCCGCAAAGAATCTCTGCTAGCTGGCCCAGATCCTCATCCTTTCCAGGTCTTCAAAGCCGCCGAAGCTTCGAGTCTATTGTATTCGGGCGGAGTGGCGCGTAGCCAATTGAATGAGTACGTTTTGCTACTAAGTTTCGCTAGTTTCCGCATTACGCCCAATTCCAGTTACCGCAATCCTTTTTAGCATCCAACTGGAGCAATGGCAACTCGATATGCTGTCCATGATCATTCGAATTGAAGCCGTTTTCGAGAAAATTGCCGAGAATGAGGTTAGAATTTTGGATTTTTCTTGGTAATGGAGCGTAATTGATTGCGTCGTGGAAAGTAGACGTCGCAAATCGCGGTTGTGTAAAAATCGCGGCAGAATGGTCGACTGATCACGCAATGAAAACAACCAGTTACGCCATGAAATGCCTCTTTTTAGCCCACGAAACACACGCTGATTCTGTGTGATCGCGGAGCCCTCGACCCGAAAGTATTCACCCCGGAGCCAATGTGGACCAATATACTCAAGTAAGTTTGAAAAATCAGAACGCAAAACGTCTGCCGCGGGCGGGGCTCGAACCTTCGACCATTTTTTTCATGGATTTCAGCGCAAGAACTACCAAACCAAAGTTTCCAGAGAGTTTGGGCTATTCTGAATGCCAAAAAACTCGAAAATCAAGTCAAAATCCAAAAATCAAACCTTTGCTGAACCCCGACCCTGTTTTTGAGGATTTTTTTTATCATTTAAACTCGTTAAAACAAATTTGTGACCAATTTTAAGCGATTTTGCATGCCAAAAAAACTCAGAGAGAAGTCATAACCAAAAAAGCAAAAGATTGACGCGTGCATGGTTCGAACCCTCGACCTTGGAATTTCCTGAAAATCCGTTTTTTTTTCAGAAAACTTCAAACCGACGAAGAAACGCTGTATTCTCGCTACGATCAGGTCATTCAGCTCCAAACGGCACCGAGGTAAGTTTATGGAATTTCACAAAGATTGGAAAGGAACTCTAGACCCAAAAATCCGTAGGCATGCCTTAGCCGTTCCTTTATCCGGCTACCTAGCAAAGACAATTTGTGGAAAATTCTAGAGCTTTCTAGGTGCAACTACACGAATAAGAACAAATTCCGGCGAGAAGACTATGAGCACGCAGCGAAGATCAACAAGGAATTCACCAGGGTGGGTTCGGGGTCTTTTCATAGCGTAATCGGTTGTCTATTGAGTTATTTGACGAGCTCAGTCGATTAAACCCAACAAAAATAACTAGTTTAAAGACCCACTAAAGGTATTTAATGGTGTAATCGATTATTCTGAGCATTTCATGGCGTAATCGGGTAGATTTGGGAGATTTTAGCAGCGTAACCGATTGCCTTCGTTTTCAGGTATGGCGCCATCATCCGAATTTTGTGAATATTCTGGACAATAGGGATGATTCGTGGGAGGAAAAGCTGGCCGAAACATGGGTTACGGTAGGTCTAGAAAATCACATTTTTAATTCCTAAAGCACCTCTGCTAGCCTGCCCAGATTTTCTCGTCTCTAACCCCTTTAAAATTTGAATATTTAGTTGAAATCGACCCTGGAAAAGACGTCGGCCGAATGAAAAATTCGTAGAAACAACAAAGAAAGTGACCGGTATTTTTATGTGTTGTGTCGGGTTGTGATTGGTGATTTTTGGAGTGGTTTGTACTAATTTTTGTATAATTTATTTCGCTCAATATTTTTGAAAATCGATAAGTGATAACTCGTCAGGGATAAATATATTTTTCGAAAGAGAAAGAGAGTGAGAGAGACACGCAGTGAGACAAAGAGCGAGCTAGAGAGAGCTAGAGAGTGAGACAGAGAGCGAGCTAGAGAGAGCAGAGAGAGAGAGAGAGAGAGAGAGAGAGAGACGGAGAGAAAGAAAAGATAGAGACAAAGATGGAGCGAGAGAGAGCGAGAGAGGCACGCAGCAGGGGTGGGCAAGGTATGCAGATCTGCAAATGGGGGACTGCCGGGGATTTCGGGGTGTGGGGGGGACCGCCGGGAGGGGGAAGCAAAACGGCGCGAAGCGCCGGAAAAATTATTATAAGATTTTAAAAAAAGGTAACTGCGATATCCACAACCATAATTTCCCAATGCGGACAGACCGTGATGAACCCACAGACAGACAGACAAACCGACAGATACTGACATACAGGCGGACAGACAGAAAGACAGGCATAAAGACAGACAGACCAACTCTAGCTTTATTCAACGTTTCCGAAAACCCTATTCATCTTAAAATCCGCAGTGGCTTTTTTTCCCCTCAAATTCATCATTTGTTAGACAAATTTGGTCGCTGCAGATGGTCTGCGAATGCTAAAAGTCACGTTTTACCCCGAAAATCGGACTGCCGACGCCCCGCCCTTTATGGCCTTGGATAGATCAGCTTACGGTGCATCTTGTCCGGAAATTTCAGGCAAATGCATCGACAAATCACGGAGATATGATTTTTGGAAAAAACCGGAAAAATGTGCTCCTGCAAATGGTCCTCAAACTCTGCAGTCCAGGATCTCCGAGATCCAACAATTTCTCAAGAAGGTTGGCACGCCATCCGATAGCCCTCATTCTCATCTACAAATTGAGCTACTTAAACTTAGGTTTCGAGCTTCCGGGCCGGAGATATAGCCGGTTAAAGGGGCGGCACTCGACCCTCAAAAACTTGGTTTTGAGCATTCGCAGATTTTATGTTCTACTCCGGCAGTCCAACATCTCCTCGAAGTCGGACTGCCGGTGGGCCGTGTGGGGCATGACTCGACGCGCAATGACGAGATCTACACTCTGGTGCCACATTCAGGTCCTCAAATTACCGTATTCCGGAATTATGCCGGAAAAACCTCCTAAAAACGAGGTTTGCCGGTCCGGCAGTCCAACATCTCCTCGAAGTCGGACTGCCGGTGGGCCGTGTGGGGTATGGTTCGAAGCAGAATAACAAGCTCTACAATCTGATACCGCTCCCATCGCCGGAAATCATCATCTTCCGGAATTAATCCGGAAAAACCTTCAAAAAAGTGCTTGTTTTATGTAGAGCCCCCGAAAATTTGTCAAAGACGGACTGCCGATTGGTAATGTAGAATATGGTTCGACGCAGAATACTGCGATCTACAATATGTTGCCACTTTCGGACCGTCAAATTACCGTATGCCGGGGATGAACCGCAATTATTCCGAAAATCCTCTCAAAAAGCCCCTTTCCCCGCCCAAAAAGGACTGCCGGATCCCCGGAAAATGGACTGCCGGGATTTTCCAGCTGCAAGACCTTGCCCACCCCTGGCACGCAGAGAGACAAAGTGCGAGCTAGAGAGAGCTAGAGATAGAGACAAAGAGAGAGAGAGAGGATGAGAGAGAGAGAGCGAGAGAAAGAGAGAGATAACGTAATTCAGTAACGACTACTGATAAACTCCTTGAGGCGGTGTCCAGGAAACTCATTTCGCCCCAGTAGCTGCTCAGGCTGGGCGAAGAGGAGCATCGGGGGCAATCGAAAAAGCTTCACGATCTTCATGATCAATACGTTACCATCGTGGCGTCGTATGCGATAATACCTTGTCCCCTCATTGTCCATCACAAATTCCGGGTATGCCTCGAGGAAGTCCTGATCAAATAGGTCCTCTATATAATTCGGGCCTGCAGCATCGTCGATCCTGATCAGCCGGATTTCCCGTTTCCCCTCCAGCCATTCTTGGATCACCAGTTGTGCATAGCTCACATACCCCGGGTCGGAATCCTCGTATCTGCGCAGCTGCATCTCGGGCACTCTCAGGTGAATGTACCCCGGAAGTGGCGCCACAATCTCCGCACGCTCGACCTTGGCCACGTTTTCGCTGAGCCATTCCAGTAGTTCCTCGGCTGGCGGTAGGGCCTCCATCATAATCGTCGCATATTTTCCGGTTGGCTTATGGCGCTTGAGAATGGCCTGCAGAAAGCGTAAGTCTAACACCGGATCCAATTCCAAATTCTCACAGCAAACCTCGACCCCTTCGAGGAAAGGCCGGCGTAGCCGCATATGGCTGACCGTGGCGTGGTCAAAAAGCAGCCGCATCATTTGGCTGTTGGTGACGGTGAACTCGGCGATGCCAAGCTCGCGCACAGACCATCGCTCAGATTGGGGGTCTTCGGCAATCAGGACGTCCCACTGTTTGTGCCGACAATCGGCGGCCATTTCGATCATGTTCTTGCTGGTGAGGGCGAACTTGGCGAAAGATCGAATGTCCATATTGCGCATGATGTGGTGCTGGACCGCCGTCGGGAAAGCGCAAAATTTGTCCATGACCTGAAATGCAAATATGGGAGGTACTGGACTGTTATTGGGGGGAGCGGAGTAGCAGGGGTGAATTATTTTTGTTTTTCCGCTTCCTTGCCGCCTAACTGTTACTCATAAATCGTTTATTTTTATAGTGTTTTTAGTAATTTTTGATTTGATCTTTGCTAGGAAGTTACGAAAATAACTCAAAGATTTTTGGCCCATTTTTGGTCATTTTCTCATTCCCCCCTGCTAACAGTCTAGTACCATATGGGATTTGGCAAAACTGAGATATAACCCAATGAAATCGACAACCAGCCCGCAATGGTACTCGCAATTCAACCGGAGGATTTGCGATTTCCGAGGAATATTCGAAAAGATATGCGGAAAGAAAGGCCGAGCGACAGAGAGGGAGAGAGAGAGAGAGAGAGAGAGAGAGAGAGAGAGAGAGCAAGCGAGAGACAAATCTCGGTAAAAAAATAGCGTATCCTATCCGCCAGGTCCCAACGTTGTTCCAATTGTGCCGATTGCGCGCCGAATCAATCGAAGTAGTCTTCGGTTATCCATCTCTCGCTGACCAAATATTTAAGCATCTGCGTGCCCTGCGGCTAAATCACTCGTGTCAATGTCGCAAAATAAAACGCGCTCTTTCAAAATGGATTTAGTAGGGTCAAAACAAATTCTCATAAAATTTATTCAACACCAGCCACCAAAAAACGATGATAACGGGGTGCCAGTACACGAAGGGCCGTCTCGAGATCCATGAATCGCTGGATGATTGTATGCTGCACCCCGTCTGTGACATAGCATTCCTTACAATCCGAAAATTCCACGATCAATATCCGGCCATCGGCGCGTGGGACGCGGTATAGCGCTGTGCGCTTCTTGAACATCGATGGGTATTGTACCCAATACTCGGGAATGAAATGCCACATTGATGACATGCGGAATGCGTAGCTTTCGCATAGAACGTTAACGAGTTCGATCTCACGCTCCATCCTTAGCCACGACTCGACGACGGCTTGTGGATAGTTGACACTCCCCATCCCTGTAAAATCGGTATAAAGCAAATTCATTCGGGGTCCCTTGAGCGTAATATAGTCCATTGTTGGCTTAGACAGATCCACCTCCAAAAACTCGGCGTTTTCGCACAGCCATTCGGGCAGGTTGCTGCCGTTAACTTCCGGGCCATTAAGCCGAACACGCACGTATTTTCCCGGGGGCTGGTGGCGCTTCAGGATGGGAAGCGGCGACAAATCGGCCCACACCTCCATGGTAAGAAAGCGCACGTCGATACCCGTGGGAATAGGTTGGAAAATGACGCCCCGGTCCACCACGGAATCGTGGAACAGCAGCTTGAAGATCTTTGGGTTGGGGATGTCACCCAAAGCGTTGGAAGGTACGCCGTAGCCGTCGACGTAGAGCGTTTCATTCCAAAATTTGTCACGGCACGTGCTCGCCACTTCCATGATTGCCTTGCTGGTGATGGCGGTCTTCAGAAAGTCCTTCATTGGCATGTGTTGAAGGATTTTGTGTTGTACCTCGATCGGCAGCCGGCAGAAGTGCTTCATCTGAAAAATTCGGCTAGAATCCGTGACACAAGGTTGTAGCGGCAATGAACAGTGGAAAAGGGCAAAGTGGGACCGCGCAAAATATGATAGAACCGTCGGTACAAATATCAGGTTGGAAGGTAAGTCCTGTCGCCGGAGTTTGTATGGATGAAAAAAATCGTAGATAGCTCCATTCTGGACAAGCGATATGGCATTTTGTAGTTATAGGCTGAACCGTACCCGGAAAAACCATATCCCGACGATTTTTATCATAGAAAAACTTTGGCAACTCTTTCGATTTTTTCGTGATTATTACACGCCCCTCCTAGGGCTCAAAAATCCCTGGGGGTTTTGTTTGCATTTTTTTTTTTGGGGAAAGGTTTGGGGAAAAGGAGGGGTTTTTTAAAAAGGGGGGGGGGGGGTGGGGGGGCTGTTTTGGTTTACCATTCGATAGAGCGTCGAAAAACATACTAAGAATTCTGTCCCCCGCACAAAATTAAAATTATAAGGAGAGAGAGAGAGACAGAGAAAGAGAGAGAGAGAGAGAGAGAGAGAGAGAGAGATTCGGAAATTGCCGGCAATCTACAGATTACAAAATTTGATGTCATTTTTGTGGACAGGCAGGAGGCAGGCTAGCAAAGGTTCTATAGGAAGAGAGAGACCGAGAGAGAGAGAGAGAGAGAGAGAGAGAGAGAGAAAGACGGAAACCGAGGTCACGAAAGATCAATGTAACCATCTAGGTTCTAATGAGAGGAATAATGACAAAACGAGAGAAACAAAGGGAGGGGGTTGGTAATTTTCAAAACCCAAAGAATAGCTGCAAGTGAGATTGTAGAAATTTCATTAGAACAAAGGGATTTGTTTGATGATATCCACATTTCACGTTATCACATCTGCCATGTTTGCTATCAGGGGTGGAAATCATCCCTTGAAACATCAATGAAATTCAAAGTTGACCTCTGCTATTCGGAGAATTGACCTACTAGCAAAAATGGCAGATGTAAGGTTATGGAGATAACGTCAAAGGCGGTTTCTCTAAAACGAATTCATTTGCTCAACGGAAATCTCGTTCGCAGCCCCAATTGGAGTAATTGTTTGGATTTTTAAAGCTCCCCCTCTCTCTCTCGCGTTCTCTCTCTCTCTCCGTCTCTCGCCTTAGCTCCCGTTTTAAGTCCAGCCCAAAATAATGTAAAATAAATGGTTTTAAACATGGTTTTTTTCGGGTTATACAAAAGCTCTTCTTGTATTTTTCGGCCCTCCATCGAATGTGATTTTCATAATATCGAAAATACGTTTCCGCTATTCTCATATTATAGTTTTTGACATTCACGTTTGACGTTTTATCTTACATTTTTTTCGGGCTGGAAACAATTCTCGTAGTATGTTTTTCGACGCTCTATCGAATGACACTCGCAAAATCCCACCGTAACTTCAAGTATTATTCCACCCCATTATTTTATCCCCCTCCCCCGATCATACAGTAGCGGTCAAAATGATGTCCGGACGGGAGAGCTTGTTGTGCCAACCCGATACATCCAAATTTTATCAATATTTGCGTCTGGGTCAATTATGCTCTGCTCCGCCGCCGCTGCTTGAAATCCTCACTCAATTTTAAACAGATTTCGTGTTTTAATCATCAAATTTGGCCCAGAAACAGCCGAGAACGCGATCAGGAGGTGACAACAGGCAATTTCAAATTTGCGAGCTTCCCGCGCCCCTAGGTGTACAGAGGCCTCCGACGTACGGGTTCAGATTTTCGGGCTGTCACTCAATCTTTGGCATTTCGTATCCCCTTTAAGGTCAAAATGTAGGGCCGGCCCGGGCCCGGATTTTGGCGGTCGGGCCGGGCCGGGCCGGGGTCCAAAATTTTGGGTTTAGGGCCAGCCCTTTCCCAGGCCTGCAGCAAGCGATGTCCCGACCGGACATCATTTTGACCGCTACTGTATCTCGGTTTGCTGTGCCCCCATTATTCATTGCCGCTACAATCCCATGTCCCACACGAATTACATCCCACTTTTCAGATGGTCGACTTCTGCCGGCTGCCAATCGAATTACGACACGAAATCCTTCGACACATGCAAATCGGTGACTTTCTGAAAACGGCCATCACCAGCAAGGCCATGATGGAAGTGGCGACGGCGTGTCGCGACAAATTCTGGGATGAGTCTCTTGTCATCAAAAAATCCGGCAACGGGTCGATCAAGTTTGATGACGACACGCGGGCAATCTTCAACAACCCAAATCTCTTCAAGCTGCTGTTCCACAATTCCCTTATGACGCGGGGCGTCCTTTATCGAGCCGTTCCCAGGGGTATCAACGTGCGCTTTCTTAGAGTGGATTTGCGTACCCCTCATTGTCGGCTCCCCACCCTCAAGCGCCACAAGCCCCCCGGAAAATACACCCCCGTTTGGATTACAAACCTGAAGGCCAACGCCAACCTGTTCGAATGGCTGAGGAAAAATGTCAAGCTTTTCGGAACTAGTTTTTTCGAGCCAATATCCGACTATATTACCTTGAAGGTACCCCGGATGGATTTGTACCATTACGACGAAGAGATGGCAAGCGACACCTATCCACAAGCCGTCATCGAGTCGTGGCTGCGCATGGAGCGTGAGATCGAACTCGTTAACGTTCTGTGTGGCAATTGCCTAGTATCAATGCGTGTCAGTGACCTAGGCATTCCCGAGTATATGCAACAGTTTCCAAAACTGTACGAAGAGAAAGGTACATCCCTATACCGCATCCGACGCACCGACGGCCGGGTGTTGATCGTGGAATTTCCCGTGTACAAGGAATACTGTGACACCACATCCGGGGTCCAGTACGAAATCATGGAGCGATACATGGATCTCGAGACGGCCCTTCGTAAACTGGCACCCCGTTATCATCGTTTTTTGGTGGCTGGTGTTGAATAAATTTTATGGAAATTTGTTTGAACCTACTAAATCCATTTTGAAAGAGTGGGTTTTATTTTGCGAGATTGACACGAGTGATTTAGCCGCAGGGCACGCAGATGCTTAGCTATTTGGTCAGCGAGAGATGGATAACCGAAGACTACTTCGATTGATTCGACGCGCAATCGGCAAAATTGAAACAACGTTGGGGCCTGGCGGATCGGATACGCTATTTTTTTACCGAGATTTGACTCAAACAAGAGAGAGAGAGAGAGAGAGAGAGAGAGAGAGACCGAGACAAACAGACAGACATAAATACTCCGCGAGAACGGTACTGTAACCCGCCAAAAACTGAGTCAGAGACCCGACCTTCTTTGTCCATCGTTGTCTGACGACATTTTCAGGCGCTTGAAAATGCGTAAATAGGTGTAGAGAGTAGCATTTAGTGGAGAGAGCGGAGCTATAGAAAAACTGACAGACAGACAGAAAACAGAGGAGTTTCAGCTCGAAAACTACCGTACTTTGGGGTAATGACTCAGAGAGAAATAGGGGAGAGAAGAGAGAGAGAGAGAGAGAGAGAGAGAGGGATAGAGATGCTAGCTGACAGCCAGAAAACATATTTTGCGCAAAAAAACGCGGGGAAAAGACTAACTGGCTGGCACTAGGGCCCTTTCTACTCGTTTTCCGAGCCCCTTTCTCTGCTCCCTCTCATTTTCTCCCTCTCTTTCCTCTCTCATCCTCCCCATCCGCACTCCCAGTCGACCTATGCCCCCCGAGTCTCCCCTCTGTTTTTCCTCATTTCACTCGTCCATCCCGTTTTCTCCTCCCCCTGCGAAATCTCATCGATTATCCGCGGGGTGCCAATCCGATTCCGTCACATTTCTGTTGACACTTGCGATTTTGCGCTTTTTATGTTTCGCGCGCCTTTCGCGCTTTTGAAAACTGAAATCTTCTTAAAATTGGCTGCCCTGTTTGATTCTCTCTATTATCTTTTTTGCTTGATAATTTAATAGGAATCTAAATATATTTGATAAATTTTTGGAACATTGAAAATTTTGGCTTTTTTGGCGATTTTTCATACATTTTCGATCAAAACGCCGGAAATTTAGATTGTTTTCATAATTTGCATGGATATTTTCTTTCTAAAAACAGTGTGACATGTTAAAAAACGTTACATTTCGTTAAAAGCCCTACGGAAAATGACTGGGGGCGATTGGTCCCCCGCTAAGCGATAAGTGCCTAAATTTCGCGGTTTGTTTGGGGGTAGACCGAGGCACCACGGCTCTTTTGGAATAATGCTATGGTAAAAAATTTCAAAACAAATGTTATTTTTACCTTTAAACCTTTTTAGCTTTCCTTTTAGCTTTATTCAATTTTTTTAGTAAAGTTTTTAAAAAATTTGATGAATTAATCGGAAAAAATTCCGAAAATATGCTTTTAGAAATCCTACCTTCTATAATTTTGGGGCGTATTTAGAAATAATCTGAAAAACGTATTTAGGCCGCTTTAAAGTGGATTTTTTTTCAAAAGCAACAAAAAAAATTTTTTAAACGTTTAGGTTGCCTGCCAATTGAAATTTTACTGTCTTTATGGATTTTCATTGAATCAACGTTTTCTGTAATTCGCTGAATTCGGAAAATTCATTTTTAGAAGAAGAAGATTACTCGCCCACGAAGATGCCCTCCCGCCTGGACCTGCGCCGTCGTGCCCGTGAGGCCAAGGCGAAACTCGTCGAAGTGATTGACGATGGCATCGACTCGATTCGGGACAACTTTGCCGAGATTGACGTGAGTTTTGTCATTTTTAAGTGCGAAAATTATTGGCTTTCAAAAACACCGACCAAATCCTGGCCTTCTGAATTCTTAAAAACGGACGCTGTTCGATTTTTACCCGTTTTCTTATGGATTTATGACTTCCCGGTACATTTAAATCCTGAATTCGTATTGAGGGAATCCAAACTATTATTTTGGATCAGGTTTTTAAACGGTTTTTGGCTTTCTGTACACTTAGATACCGAAAAATCAAATTTCTCGATTTTAAAGAGGATTTTCTTGTGGATTTGTCACTTCCCGGTTCCTTTAAAGCATCTATTTTTATCGAAAACGAGCTAATTTAGTAAGATAAATTTCAATTGTCGATTTCAAAGATTTTTCTGATGGATTCATGGCTTTCCAGCACCTTTAAAAGCGGTGTTTCAGGCCTTTTCCGCACCATTCCTCTTTACTACCGATTCCAGGGGTGTGTGGTCAAATATCAGGCATCGAAGGGGTGGGGGTGTAAGAAAGACAAATATCCGGTACGGGTACTTCCCACTAGGTATTTCTCTTTCTCTCTCTCTCTCTCTCTCTCTCGCTCTCTCTCTCTCGCTATCTGTCTCCCTCGCTGTCTCTCTGTCTCTCACACTCTCTCTCACTCTCACTCTCTCTCTCTCTCTCTTCAATTGTCCCGAGTACAGTCCCGTACTTGTCCGTTGTTCTATTTTGATGTCCATTCCATCCCCCTCCATCCCCATTCCATCCAAGGCCATCTCTGCCTCGGGCTGACTGACCGGCTGTCTCCTACTAAATGGCCATTTATCGATTAGACACGAAAACCGATTGGAAACACATGTTTCTACCAATTCAAACGCTCTCTTTCGGTTTTCTGGATCCCAAAAGAACTCTGCTAGCCTGCCCCCCCCCCGAGCCCCGAGCGTTTGGATCGACTCTGATTCTTCAAATTTCTAGTCTGTTTTCCTAAAGGATTCCCGCTAGCTTGCCCACGATTCTCCAATGATCTCTGCTTGTTGCCCTCGGAATTCAAAAAAAAACTTCATCTGGCTCGCTGTGAATTCGGCAAGAATCTCTACTAGGCCCTCCAAATGTCCTAGAAGCTCTCTGCTAGCCTTCCAAGACTTCTCAAAGAATCGCTGCTTGGCTGCCTTTAGATTGTCGAAATGCGCTGTGCTAGCTGTTTTTCGATTCCACAAGAAACAAAAATTCCTAAAAAAAAACACTGCGAGCTTGCCTAGGGTCGCCTCTGTGTTCTCGTTCCAAAAATGTCTTTGCAATTTCGATCGATTCCTCAAAGAACCTCTGCTAGCCTGCCCCGCTCCTAAATTTCAAATTATCGCAGACTACAGTCCACCGATTAACTACCATAACTACCATCCCCTCGGGCCCCATGATTCCTTAATGGTCTCTGCTAGCTGTATGACTCACACTCCTTTTCCAGATGTCCATCCCCCTCCTCCTTGATGCGTCAAAACGGGGGTCGATTTCAATCTTTCGCGGCTCTTTCCCAGATCCATTAATTCCCTCTCCGCTCTTTTTCTCTGCTCTCTCTCCGACTATCGATTTCTCGTCTCGTCCCGTTGACGATATTACAAATTTATTCCGATCGACACGTCAACCACTCAGCTTTTTGAAATCTATTTTCTGGAAAGATCGCTTCTCAAAATTGGCTACAAATTTTTAGGAAATCAATTTCCCAATATTGACTTGGAATCTGGGTCCTTTTGCACTATCGGTGGGGGGGAACCACTAATTCTTTTTTGTATAAGCCCAGAAGCGCCTAGTAATTCATATTATAATTTCATGGGGTTTTTTTGAAAAAGCTTGTTTCTATATATCAAAGTGAAAAATATCCAAAAACCTTAAAAAAGTGGCAATTTTCGTCGTTTTTCAATTTCCATTTTTTCGATATTTTTAAGCAAGAAACCTCTTTCTAATTTTTTAACCATAAAATTTTTGAAAAAAACTAGGTTTCAGCCAAAAGTTGCCCATTCTTGCAATCAAGCTTTTCGTATTTTTATAAATATTGCAATTTTAGTATTAAATTTTACCACGTTTTTACATTTACATTTTACATCGTATTTTATAAATATTGCTATTAATTAGTATTAAATTTTACCACGTTTTTGCATTTAAGAATCGTAAAAAATGTCGTGATAGAAAAATCCTGTTCTAGGATAAAGTCCCCCCCCCCGATAATGCAAAAGAACCGTGATCTGTAGTCTGGCCTTCCTTTTTCCTGTGTACTTTGTAGCCTAATTCATTTCCGCTTTTTGGGTCCAGAAAAATGCCGTTCGGCTCGTCGAAAAAGCACAAAATCAACAGCGGTGGGAAGGAAAATTCAAGAATTGTAAGTTTAGGCTAAAAATCAAAAACATATACAATAAAATGGGTTCTAAAAATTACTATTAAAGTTTGTTATTTACAGATGTCCATGTTCGGGCGGCTATTCGGCAAGAAAAAGGAGGAAATCACGGCCGAAGATGCGATCAATCAGCTGAAAGACACCGAGGCGATTCTCGTCAAAAAACAGGAATATTACGAGAGGAAAATCGAGGAGGTACGGTAGAAAAGTGCTATAATAAAATAGAAACGAGAAAAATAACACTGACAAGAATATAATTTCGATTTATGCCTTGAAAATGAATAAAATACCACATTTTAGGAAATCGCAGCAGCCAAAAAATACGGAAAAACAAATCAGAATATGGCGCTGAACGCGTTGAGGAGGAAGAAGCATCATGAGCTGGAATTGAGGTAGGGCGGGCAGGCGAGCAGAGATTCTTTGAGAAAATTTGAGAAACGAGCAGGCTAGCAGGGGTCACATGCGGAAATCTGGGTAGGATAGCGAAAAGCGTGGGCAATCTAGCAGAAAACCTGTAGGAAAACTTGGTTTAATAATTAAACCAAGTTTGTTGAATAATTAAACCAAGGTTTAACTTTAATTGTCCAGAACGCAGGACTAGCCGAGGATTTGGTATCATAATGTCGAAAATCATAATGTCGAAATTTCACAATGTCGAAATTTCATAATGTCGAAATTCACAATGTCGAAATTTCCAAGGCTAAATCAGTGAAACGCCAAAACCAGCAAAAAAATTCCACATTCTATTTTTTTATCTTATTTCACGCCAACATTTCTTGCCTAGAATTCGGGAACTTTATCGGGAATTTTAGCTTACGTAAATTTCGACATTCTGAATTTCGGCATTCTGACATTTCGACATTATGAAATTTCGACATTATGAATTTCGACATTTTGAAAATAAGCCCTAGCCGAGAACTAGCCAAGATTCTTTGAGGAATTGGAGGCAAGAGCCGGCTAGCAGAAGCCATTTGTGGATTTCCGGTCTAAATCGCGAAAAACGCGGGCAAACTAGCAGAGAACCTTTTGGAATGCTTGGTTGAATCACCCAGAACGAAGGGCATGCTAGCAGAGATTCTTTGCGGAGTCAAACGGGTGAGCAGGCTAGCAAAGGAAGTTTAGGAGACTTATGCGGATCAAAAAAGCTAAAGGTAAACCGGTAGAAAGCTCTATGGACCATGGCAACCTAGCAGAGACTTTTATGGAAATTGTAGCCTTGTATCTGGAAAACAAAGCAAAGCCCATTTCATAATCTAAAAATCCGTTTTAGCCGTATCGACGGCACGCTGGCGAAATTAGAAGCGCAGCGCGGTGCTCTCGAGGATGCGGGCACGAACGCCGAAGTGCTGAACGTGCTGGCCGAATCGTCGAAAACCCTCAAAAAGGCCAATATGGACCTCGATATCGATAAGGTACAAATATAGCCGGGTTTTTTAGAGCCAAAACCCATAGAAAAGCGTGAATTACGTGGCGTAATCGATTAAACACCAGGCTAAACCCCCCCGTTTTTTTCAGGTGAACGATCTGATGGACGATATCGGCGAGCAGATGGCCGATTCGGCCGAAATGAACGAGGCAATCTCGCGGAATGCTGGAGGAGAGACGGTAGATGAGGATGAACTGATGGACGAGCTGCGGGAGCTGGAGAAGGTCAGCTAACGGAGGGCATCTGGGGAAAATCAAAAGCTGATTTAAAACCGTCGCTAGGCTGGCTAGCGCAGAGCATTAGCAAAAACCTAAAAGGACTTTTTTAGCTCGAAATAGGGAGAAATTCTTGCGCTTTTACTGCTGAAAAAACGCGGGCAAACTAGCAGAGATCGTTTGAGAATTGGCAAGCGATTCTATAAAAAGACAGGCAGCAGAGATCACATGAGAAACGAAATTTTTCGCGCTTTTATTGCCAAAAAGCCCGAACAAGAGCGCAGAAAAGTGCAGGCACGCTAGCAGAGATCATTTGCGAGGCAAAATGCCGAAAAACCTAAAAACTAAATTCAACTTCTAATGCCCAAAATGCCTGAGAAACGCGGCAACAGCTAAAAAACCGGGCAAACCAGCAGCGATTCTTGTAAAAAAACCCACTGGCCCAGTTTTCCAGGCAGCAGTGAGCATTTAGGAAAACCTAAAAACCATCAATTCTGACATCAACTTTTGTCGCCCAAAAGTTTCATCAAAAGCTCCAAAACCCGCATTTTCAGAGTGCCGCCACGTCGAAACCTCGAAAAGTGGCCGTGGCCGTTGAGGTATCCGAAGAAATGGAGGTAGATGAGCTTCCGGAAGTGCCGACCGGCCCGGTCACTCGATCGAAAAAGGCTCAGGTCAAAAAGCAGGACACCATGGCCGAGTTGGAGGCTTGGGCCGCCGCTAATTAGACGCTCTAAACAACGAAAAAACTGTTTTAAACTCTTTCTCGCGGATTTCACACGTGTAGTTTGTATCCTAAAAAACGTGCTATCCAAATTTACTTATATTTCCGTATTTCCGGCTCAATCTCACGACATTTTCGAGATTTTCTGTTGCAAACATGTGCATATTTTTCTATTTTTTTCTTCTTCACAAATGATCTTCAAGAAATTCCTTATCAGTTGCCGTATAAATATAGTCAGTACTACTACCAGAAATAACCGAAAAAACGCTTGTAAAATCACAGAGAATCCATTAGAATAAGAAAAAGGAGGAATTACAGTATGCGGGTAAAAAGAAAAGGCCAGAAAATCACAGAAAAGAGGTGGAATCAGAGAAGTGAACAGAAATTTGTATACATTAATTAGTTTTTGGCTTGTTCCATTCATTTCTCGTTGATGAGCGAAGAGTCGCGGGCCGCAATCTCCGTCATACTGCCCTGAAAACGAAAGAAAATTATTTGGAAAAAGGGGGCTAGAATGTTAAAAAGGGCATTTCAAAAAAAGGACATCGCAAGAGGCGTACTTTTTCGTATATGGCCCTCGTAAAATATTTCTAGTGTACTCTACGGGAATTTTTGCGAAAAAAATATTTTCTACAGTACCAAAAAGTATTTTTTACTTATTTATGGCTATTTTACGAGCCGCCAAACTATCGAAAAATTTGAAAAATGCTTTAAAATTTGAATTTTGACCGAAAATAAGTCATTTTTGGAAAACCTTTCCCCCTCCACCGCGCAGCTAATTTTGCAAAATCACGACGTGTCGAAGAAAAGAAATTGTATAAAAGAAACAATAGAAAAATTAATTCTATCAACAATTTAAAATTTCGAGTTTTTCGAATTCTGAATTTCATAAAAACCAGACTATTTCTTTGAAGTAAATAGTTTTCCGCTATTTTTCGGTTTCGGAAATTTGATAAAATGATTTTCCGATGCCATCAAGGATCTAGGGCGTTAGGAAACGCAAAATACTGAGTTTCGGGATAGAGAGTTTTCGGGATAGAGAAGTTTCGGGATAGAGAGTTTCGGGATTGGAAATTTCGGGATAGAGAGCGGCATTGGTCGCGTTGCTTAGGCCCTTATTGCCGCTATTTCTGGGCGTGCCCGATACGATATATCGGAATAACATTTGCATATCGCAATAAGCAGAAAATCCGTCAATCCCGTGAATACTTGCTCCGTACGGTCAGTCTGCATAAAAAAGCATAAGGTTACGCGTTTCCGAGACTAGATCTTTCGATTTGCATCCATTTTTTCGCCTACCGAGCGCTCTAATTTCCCTTAATCTTATATGCAAAAGTTATTCCGATAGTATCGTATAGAGATGTTACGAATCAAGTAATATAAAGACCAAGTAAATTTGCTTGAACAACTTTATTTGCATCTGAAATCTTCAAGTAAATATAAAATTATTTTACTCTGACCAGGGTTGAAAAGCCGCTTCGCGACTTTTCAACCCTGGCCCCGTCTTGGCCCGCATGCTGTTCTACGCCTTGCATAATTGCGCTGAATTCAGATGACCAAAAAAATGAAAATGATTCGCTTGTGACCCTTCATATAGGCGACTTCCTACTTCCGGTCAATGCTAATTTTTCCTAGCGAAGAGGGTTTTACAAAAACTTAAATTTATTATCGAAAACAGCCGATTTTTATAAATCAGATATGTGGGCAGTGATCCCTAGACCATTACGCACATAATGACGTATCGTACCCACCCCTAGCTTCTTCCCCTATAGAGATACGCCTGGAACAACGATACGGAAGTGGATGCAAAGTGGCACACACACACACACACAGACACTATTTTTTTATATATAGTAGGATTTTACAACCCGAAAAACCGACATTAAACATCTTTGCCGGGATCCCGACATGTCGAAGGGCCAGCCAGGCCAACGAGGCGCCGAGCCCGGTGTTGCACGCCGTCACCGTCTCCACGCCCGGCTTCAGCCCGTTGGTCACTAAAAAAAGGCGTTAAACTCGGGAACTTTCGGCGGTGCTATGGCATTATCGGGGGGGGGGGGGCTTTTTTTGAAGCTAGCAATTGTTCTAATATAAAAACCCGACGTGTTTCTACGCTTTTTTTACTGTTCCCAAACGAAAACCACAAATTTTTATTAAAAGAAACACAAAAATATAGATTTTTCGCCGAAAATCTAAAATTTTCCTAAATTTTTTATAGTTTAATCCTCAAAATATAATCGTATTCTGCCAAAAACACTATTAGAATAATTTCTAGTAAGTTACAAGACATTTCTAGACTTGTAAAAAAGCCCCCCCCCGATAATGTAAAAGAACCGTTATTTTCAATTTCATTCGTATCACTGACGCCATTATTATGCCCAGACCAGGGTTGAAAAGCCGCTTCGCGACTTTTCAACCCTGGCCCCGTCTAACCCTATGATATTCTTCGTTTTGCATAATTGTGCCCCACTTCCGATGACAAAAAAAATGAAAAACACTCCCTTCGGGCCTTTATATAGGCTACTGTAACTTCCGGCGTATGCTAATTTTATCCTAACAAAGTGGGTGGCCTATTTTTTACGAATAACTTAATTTTAATGTCGAAAACAACATATTTTACAAAATCCGCTATGTGTGCAGTCATCTCCAGCCCATTACGCATCTAATGACGTATCAAACACCTCATTACACCCCTTCCCTCTCGAGATATCCTCCGGACACCCTGACGGAAGTTGCATGCAAAGTGGCACACACACACACACACAAACACTATTTTTTTATATATAGTAGGATACCTTCAAAATGTATATTTTATTTCTTTTTAATTAATTTAATTGAATTTTGCGATTGTTCAAACGCGGCTAGCCAGCGAAAAACGAAAATCGGCGTGAATGCAACGAGCGCACAGAATCCGCGCGTACAGAGTATCGCCGCGTACTCAAAAATTTTGCAAGGGAGGGTTTCCTATCATAAATTTTTCGAATTTTTTGCTGAAAACAGATTATCGCTTTGAAAAATTAACCTTGCTTAATCTGCTGGTCGTCGACGAGCCCTTGATCTCCACATATGCGCCCGTTCCCAAAGTGCGAGGCCCCCTTCAGATGGTAGCCGGTTGATTCTGTCAAAATTCACGGATTAGGAAAAACGCAGAAAATCGTACTCGGTCCCAGGATTGCGCCCTTGCCCTCGTCGAACATCTCTTTCGGCCGGCAATCCAGGTAGTTGATCTAAAAGAATTGGGATAAAAACCGTGCTGGACTGTTAGCGGGGGGGATTTTTTAGGAGGGTTTTTTTCCTGGCGCTCCCGGTTGACCTAGTAATCAAATCGAAAGTGTTTTCACACTGTTTTTAACAAATTTTAACTATATTAAAGCAGAAAAACACTAAAAAAAACTTTGAAAAATGTTTGAAAAAGTCGAAAATTTGGTCATTTTCCCCCGTGAACCCTGAATTTTTCGACCTAAAATTAGATTTTTTTAACTCAAATTGGTGTAGCTTTTATGCTTAGGAATAGTTAAAAATAATCTGGGAAACGCATCTGCTATTTATAAAAACAATCAGGCTTGGGCCGAAAAAAATTGGTTAATTTTCAAACTTAATTTTCTTTAAAAACATTTTTAAACTTTCTAGCATTCAAAAAATTCTAAAAATAACCATGCTACTGGTAATATACTGTACTGGTAGTAAGGGGTTTCCACTGCTAAAAATCACCCCCCCCCCCGCTAACAGTCCAGCACTCAAAAAAGCGAGATAATGATCAATACCTTGTCCAAATTGTCGAAGGTGCTGTTGCCCTGGTCGTGGCCCTTGTAGAGCTCATCAAACGTGGCGAGGCGGCCCTCGGGTTGGAACGTGTTGATGGTGATGTTGCCGGGCGGGGGCGCCGTCCATTTTGCCGACTCGACGTCGCCCTTCCACGCGGTCAGCCCGCCGTTGAGCACCAGCGGGGCGAGGCCGTAGAGCTGAAAAAAGCCAAAATTTATGCGAAAATAGCATTACTTTATACACAATTAATTCTGTCGTTAAAATACATAAAAAAACTTTTTGGATGTTCAAAATTCGTCAGCGCAAAACTCGTCAATCTACTTTTTTAGATGAACAAAAATACGTCTAGTAATTAATAGAAATAAATACAGTAAATTAATAGATTTTATTTCAATTTAGCCTAATTTAAAGTACAAAACTGTCTCGGAAACGTGGAATCTTTTGGAAAGCTGGTATTTGGCCCAAAATAGTCCATTTTTGGTCGAAAAATCCCTTTTTTTGAATGCTTTTTTCTTTAAACTTTTTACGTTTAGCAAGATGAAAATAATGCCGAAAAATCCTCAATTTGGATCCCATTAAAAAAGCCGTTTTATTTAGCTACATTATTAAAACTTTAATATTTTGCACTTTCCGGCGTCATAGCGATAATTCTTTTGAATCACTAAAATAGAGGAATCCAGACAGACAAAATCTCCATTTTCGAAGCGAAACGACGCAACGAAAGCATGGAAAAGTGTTATACCTCCAAAACGAAGGCCGCCCGCGCCGCGAACGACATGCCAGCCATCGGACCACGCGCGTACGTCACCAGCGTGTCGCCTAAAAATCAAGCTTGAATTTGAGAATGTTTTATACCCTGATTGACGCCGAGGTAGCGGAGTAGCGCCTGGAATTGCTCGGGCGTGTAGAAGTCGAAGCGGGTTTGGCTGAAAAAAATATTTCGTGGGAGAAAAGCAATTCCCTACTTTCCGGGCGGGCAGAACACGTCGAGGGGGAACGGCCGGGCGCCGGGCAGGCGCTTGCTGTCGAATTCGGCGTGCTTCTAAAATACAGTAGATATAAACACCAAATTTCTCGTTTTTTTCTCAATCAAAAAGAGGACGCCGAATTTTTCCTATGGGTCCAGATATGCCAAACAACAAAATAGGAAATAGTTTACTTTTTATAGCAAAATCTACCATATTTTAGGGTACAACCTACGCAAAAACACGTAGAAAAAGATGAAAAATTACGACTTTTGGGCAAAACTAAGCACTTTACTGCCTTGACTTTCGGGCAAAAAATCCATATTTCCCCCATTTTCATCCGTTTATTCAGGCTTTCCAGGCGACAGTTTTTTTAAAAAAATTTGCTTTGGACCCGGATCATCTAAACTATCTAAACGTTAAGGTACTGTACCTAATTTGACAAAAACCGGCAAAATAAACACTAAAACAATTCGCGAAATCCTGGAGCTCCCACTCAAAATATCTATGCTTTACCGGTGTCTATCAATGCACCAAATATCCGGCAAATCTTCTCAATTCGAACCCCCGTTCAGTATTTTAGGGCTTTTTGTACTGTCTCTAAACTTAAAAACTGGAAATGAGTACAAAAATAGTTGAAATATGGCCTTTTCTACACAAATTACGAACTTTTAAACATTTTCCTAAGTCGGCTAAATAATTGTTGAATCTCAGGACAGCTAAATTTCTTAAAATGCGCATTTCTAAGCGTTTAGCCGAGTTTTCTCCACGGTTTTTCCAGCTTAAATCGGGCAACAGTATGTTGAAACTACTATTAAAATAGTTACGCTGCTAGGCGTCCGGAAACACCAGAAAAGCTAGATACCTTGTCATTCACGAGGGCATCGGGGTGGCCGTCGTACTTCTTGTGCCATTCGGCCGTATCCCCCTTCGGGCACATCACCCACGACGCGTCCAGCAGCACCACGCCGCCTTTCTAAAACCAAAGAATTTATTATTAAAAAATATAAAAACGAACCGCGATCAGTCCGGTCAATTCGTCGGCGGAAATGATGCGCGGCATGGTATTTCCCCTGAAAATTGAGCTAAACTGAGATATATAAAATGTAATCGATGAAAAAGGCAAGCGAGGAGGAAATTCGAGCAAACGTTCACGCAAAAAAAGCGGAGAAAAGGACCCGGAGAGTGTGCGATAAGCAAACGGAGCCCCCGATTCGCCGGAAAAGCCGAACCGATTACGGCGCGGAACTCGTGGCAGGGCCGCAAACAACGCGTTTTGATTGGAGAGTGGACAAAGAAAAACAAAAGCTGAAAAAGAAATAAGTAAAAAAACTGCTAAATCAAATCAAACCTATTAAATCAATAAAAAACTACTCTAAAACACACAAATTGGCGATTTTACCAAAAAAAGAGATAAGCAAAATAAAGCAAAACAATCGATCAAAATAAGCTAAAAACCACTAAATCAATAAAAAATAATAATTTAATAAAGAAAACTACTTTGAATTTTCGAAAAAGAAAATCCTGCTCCGAAACGCGCCAATTGACGGATTCCGCACGGATGCATTCGTACGGAGCCTCAAAATACGATGGCGTTTCGAATTTTCATTTTCTTTTTAGGCTTTCGAAACCGAATTTCTCGTTTTTTTTTCCGGCCTATTTTATCGATTTTTTTCCTTTATTTTAATCTTGGTTTGTTTTGTTTTTGTTGGGCATCGTAAAGACGTTTCTAGGGCGTTTTTTTTGGAAAATTTGGTGATGTCGAGAAGATTTTTAGGCGCAATTCACTCTCTTGTAGTTCTTGTTCAATTATTTGAGCTCTCGTTACTACTTGCAGGGACACGCGACGTAGCTCTTCCGATAGAGCTTCAATTCTGAACAAAACGCCACTTTTCGAAAATTTTTGAACTACGGTCTATACTATTTTGCTTGGAGACGCCGATTCTGCCCATTTTTAGCCGGTGCTAAGCAAAATATAGAGTTGAAAAAACGTTTCTAAACTGTTGTTTTGCTATTCCTAAACGTAAAAATTCCCCAATTAAAAAAAAAAATATAGGTTGTTCTAACAAAAACCGCCATTTTTTACCAAAATTTCGATTCTTGCAACATTTTTTGAAGGTTTTTAGATAGTTTCTGGTTAAAATATTGTTTTATTTTACTAAAAACACTATTAAAACGCTTTCTACCCGCCCCAATTGCGATTTTCCTGGCGGATTTCTGCTGTTTTCGCACCCGTTGCTCGAACCCTCACTTTTCACCTTTGTTTTCTTGCTAAACATTCCTTTTCTAACATCATATTTTTTCCAGACCTCAAGCTGGGCATGAACGAGCCAAACCTACCGCCACTCCTGATGAGTGGCCTCGTCGGGTGGGTCGGAGGTTTCCTCCGACGCCACGGGGTCAGTTTCCTTCTTTCCTTCCTGAGAATCCCCCCTTTTTAGTGCAAAAATGCGCTGGCGGCGCTGATCGAGGAGACGCGCGGGCTGACGGCTAGCTATCAGCCCATGCTGCACGACACCATCCACGGGCTCACCCTGGAAGCCGAGTATAAGGTATAGAATTTGGCTAACTAAAGAACTTCGGCAATTTGAGATTCAAAATTACGAAAGAAATGGGGGTGCTAATGCAGTTAGGGGGGGGCAGTCCAAAATTGGTAGCAAGGGGCCACGAGGCGCTCCACTTAAGCTACTTGGTTTTCAGCTTGAGCCTAGGCTTAACTTAGCTTTAACTAAGCCTAGCTTAAGCCTAAGCCAAAGCTATGCTTAACTTGAGCTTCAAATTGACTTACGAGGTCAAAATGGGGCCACTTATGGGTTAGCTTAGAACTAAGCTTAGCTTGGCTCAAGCTAAGCTCAGGCTTCGTTTGTATGAAGCTAAGCCTAGGCTTAGGCTTAGCTTAGTTTATCAAGAGGCTTGGAGTTTAAACAACGGCATTTGGAGCGTCTCGTAGTCAAAATCCAGACTGCCCCCCAAGTGCATTAGCACCAAAATGGGTTTTCGAGCAACATTTAAAAATTTGTGAATTTTGTTCACGTTTTTTTTGGGGCGTATCGGGGGCGGGACGCAGTTTATTAGCTAGGCCAAATCTAAATAGATGCAGCGCTCGCGTATCTTTTGCTATTACTGAATTCAGAAAACTGACATTCGTTGAAAATTACGAAAAAGTTACTTGTGGTTCTTTAGGATTCGCGGGGGGAAACAACTTTTTTCATGTGGGCCCCGCTTGGCCTATTAATAAAATATCAGTGTTTTTACATTGTTTTTAGTAAGCTTTAACATTTTTGATTGAAATTTGTCGTTTTTATGATTAGGAATAGTTAAAACAATGTAGCAATTTAAGTAAGTAAACAAACATTCGCTATCTATCTATAAAAAATTTTTGGCTTAGAAGGGTAAAATTGCGTTTCCCCGATCTTGCGAAAGCAGGCTAACGAATTACGTTCTTTTTCAGTGGTTCCTCGACACGTATCAACACTCCGTCCAGCACACGCTGCTGATGATGCCCGCGGTGATGGCAACCACTGAAGCGCAGCAGCGTCGAATCCAAGAGGTACAGCCGAGGCTTTGTGCTAGTAATTCATAATTTTCAGCAATTCCCGTACGGCCAGCCAGCAGCTCAAATGGCGCCCGAGTTACAAGCGCTTCTGATCGCAACGCCGATGGCTCAGCACCAGCCACCGCCCATGCTCAACAACAACATCGCTGTGGGGTACGCTTTTGCTAGTTTGTCCCTATTTTTTCGGGTTTAGTGAGCCGAACGTCATCAACAAGTACGAGCCGCAGTCGCCACCACCACCGCAACTTCAACAACCACCGGCCGCGTCGCCCAACGCACAGCACAAGCCCGTCGTGCAGCCGGAAATCAAGGAAAAGGCGGCGACGCCGGCGCGCAAGCAGGTATCGGCTCAAACGGCCCGCGTTTTTTCCGTTCTGGACTGTTAGCGGGGGTTACAGTTCCCCAGCCGCCCCACGTGGCCTCGTATATAGAATTTTACATGGTTTTAGCGATATAAACCGCGAAAAAAATTCGATAATTTTTAGTTTGGGGGAAAAATGCATGAAAAATGGCGAAAATAGGTCAAGATTCTCGGAGATTCATTAATTTCCGAAATACTTTTTTAACTTTCATTAAACAAAAACGACGAAAAAAAATACGATAAAAATTTTTTTGATGTTATCGAAACAAATAAGTATAGGCGGCAAAACAAGAAGTCTCCCCCCCGCAAACAGTCCAGCACTGGTTTTTTACGTTTGATCGGTCGAAATTCAATATTTTCAGGCCCCTCCACCGATTCCTGTGCCGTCGGCTACGCCTCGGCGTGAGGTATGGTTTTTCAATATCTTTATCCCCTCTCGCTCTCTCTCTCTCTCACTCTCTCTCTCTCTTTCTCTCCTAGCAATAAATCTCTCCATTTTCAGCCTCCAGCACCGATCCCAGTGCCGGAAGTGGCGCCCGGCTTCAAGCTCGACAAGATTTTCATAAAGCAGGAGCCGATCAGCCCGACGGTATCGCTTTTTGCCTTTATTTTTCGAAATTTGTATTCTTTAGAGCTCGAGCTCGCTGGTCACCATGCTGGCCGCAAACTCACCCAAGGTACTGAATATTCTGTAAATTTTTTATTCCTTTTTTAGGATCACATTGCCAAGTCCGTCGCCAGCCCCGCCGCCGACCGCGCCTTCGCCAAGCCGACACCACCACGTAAATTTTTTTCAACCGCTTTACGAACTGCCGACCGGCGCTTGCGGCCCGAAAGTTATTTTAAAATTTTCGTGCGGCTTTTTAAATATGTTTTAAATCCATTTATCTTAAGTTAGGGCTTTCATAGCCAATTGGTAAATTTTGCTCTGAAATTGAAACGGACCTTTTTCTCTCAAAATTTCGGGCTGCAAATGTCGTGCTTTTCTAGCTAATTGTCTGTTTCCAGCGGCCTCCAAAACCGACAAGTCACGAGCGCCGCCCAGCCGCCCGTCGAAACCCCGAGAGGTGCCGGAGCCATCACTGCCGCCGCGTGACGAATCGCGTCCGTCGCGAAAGTCGACCGAGCGCCCACGTGACAAGCCCGACGAAGCCGAGCGCAAGCGGGCCAGCTCGGTATGTTTTTTCGAGGGTTAATATCGAAGATTTTTTCAAATGCTCTTTTGGACGAGTTCCGGGATAAAGAAATTTTGCCCCGTGACGTAGCGTATCCTATAGAGCTGGAAATTCTGAAACAAGGACCGCCAAATGTGGAAAATTAAAGAAAAACTAAGTCGGCGAGAAAGTATTATCAAATCTCACAAAATCCACCGTTGAAAGCTAATATTCTCGAAAATCACTCATGGGTTGGATTACAAAATTTGCGGCCCTAGCTCTGGCCGATCTAGCCTTTGCAAAACCCTTTTATCCCCTAAAAACCGCCCTTTATTAGCAATATCCTCGATTTAGTGCATGCCACAACGCACGCCATCGCAGCGTCTGAAGCGTGGCCAAGACACCGTCGTCAAGGTCGAGGCCGAAGCGGCCTCGAAGCCCAAAAAGTCGCGCCCTCACGGTATGCCCATTTTTAAGAATATATCTAAGTTCTGCTTCTAGAAGCCGACGACATCTTCGCCACGGCCAAGCCAGATGCTCGCTCACAATCGTCGACCAAAGCACACCTGTCGCGCACGTTGGACTCTGCTAAAATGTTTGTTTTTTTTGTTTGGCTATTTGGCGAAAACATTGGCCTTTTTGAAGCCTGGATTTTGTAGTGATTCCTAGCCATAAAAACCTAAAAGAGAGGTATTTTCGGTAAAATCTATGTTTTGGCGTAAATTTCAAATTTTTAGCCATTTTGCCATGGCTTTAAAAGGTTTAGCCTTCGAATGAAAATTTATGAATTATAACACCAATTTTGGAGGCCATATATTGTTTCATATTTCATTTAGTTTTGCGAATTTCACTTACGAATCCTGTATTTTCGGATAATTTATTGAATTCGATTTTGGAGTCCTTTTTTGGATATGAGGTTCTTATGCGTTAGCGGTGGGGCGGCCGAATTTTATTGAAAAGTGTAGTAATTCCGAGCAACTTAATAGCAAGAATGACTTGAAAAATTTTTGAAATTTTTGTAGAAAATCGGCCAATTTCGGGCGAAAAGTCGTTTTTTGGTATTTTTTGCAAAGAATTTGTAAAGTTTTCACGTTTAGGAATCGTAAAAAGCCGCTTAGAAATAACTCCGTTATTTATATTTCAAAAATCTTCTAATTTCAATATTATTTGAAAAATCAAATATTGAATTTGAAAAATATTTATTTCTTGCAGGGAATCATCATCATGGCGTCACTCGCCGGCCGAAGAGCGCCCGTCCCGCTCGTCGAAGGTCGATGAGAGCCGCCAGCACGCCCAGCCGAGCAAGTCGAAGCACGACCTCCGTCAACGCGACCTCTCGCGGGCTAGCAGGTTTCTTGGATTTTTATTTTTTTACAATATTTTTAGTGTGGCCTCGCGTCAGCAGAAGCTGCCACTCGAACGTCGCCCCGTCGACGAGCGCCAGGAGGCCATGAAGAAGGAGAAGGAACGCCGCGAGCTCGAGCAAAGGTATCGTTTTTCGGCTACTTCAAAACTTCAACTTCAAAAATTTAACGTAAAAAAATCTAGATTTTAAAGCTGGCTGCAGTTTAGAATTTTACACACATTTTGCTGAAACTTTCGACGGTATTTCGGCTCTGAGACCAAACTGAAAAACGCGAAAAAGTGACTTCGAAATTTTTTGTTTTTTTTTGTCGCGGTAGTTGGTTTATTCATGGTAGTTTTCGGTTGTTTCGCGTTGATGGTAAGTATTTTAGTATATTTCAGCCAGAAAACCAACGAAAATCTTTTAAAAAAACTGTCTATCGAAAAATCGTCTATATTTTCTCTTTTTTTAATAAAAATTTATTATTTTCTTTCAGCCGTCGCGACGCGGCCATGAAGAAAAAGTCGGGCGTCGAGGCGGCGTTCGATCGAAAGGTGAAGATGACGCCAAAGTCCAATCCGAAGATATCCATCGATCTCATCGCCAACTGCCAGAAGCTGCTCGCCCCGCGCCCCGCATCTGGCGATAACAACAACACCACCACTGGTATTCATTTTTCATACACGAAAAAATTGCTAAATTTTTTGGATTTCCGGTATACTTTTTACTTCAAAATTGACAGCAGATTTTGATATGATATTCTTCAAAATTGCTGTTTGTTTCGCAGCGTTTCGCACATTTTTCGGTACTAGACTGTTTGCGGGGGGGCTTAATTTGGCCTAACGCCCTGTCTCGGTGCCAATAAGTAAATACAAACTATTTCTGTGCCATTTTACGCCTAAGTATACGAAATAACGTGGTATATCTTTGCATTTTTGGTCAAAAAGTTGTAGATTTAGAAGTGTATTTTTTGGCTGTTTGTTGACCGGAAACTTCTAAAAACGGTTTATCTTTTATTATCATGGAGTGCTGAATAAAGGCAGTCCCCCCCCCGATAACGAACCAGCGCAGGAACTGCCGAAATTTGTTTTTTTAGAAGCCACTGATGTGCCGCGTAGCTCGATTCGTGCCAAGTCGCAGCCGGCAGGCGTCAATCTCGCCTACTCGACCCCGGAGCCGATCTGTGTCTATGGCGGTACAATTTTTATCACTTTAAAATTTTGAAAAAATTGTTTTAGATTCGGATTCGGACACGCCGAAATACGACGAGGAGATCGACCGACGTCAGGGAGAGGTGCATTTTTGAAAAAATTTTCTAGCTTGAATTTGGAACTAGAAACCCTTTCCTAACGCGCTAAATAGGATTTTTGGTGTTAATGCAAAACCGGGAGGACCTCTAATTTACCTAGTAATTTAATAACAAGAATTGTTGGCAAAAATTGGCTTTATTTCAAACGGAAGACTTGGGAAATGCCCTATGATTCTGAAATTTTTGTCTGAAAATTTATATTTCGCGTCTGTTGTTTTGGTGAAATCTTAGAAAGCCAGTGTGGCTTAAAACTAGCAAAAAGCTAGGAAATTAATTTTGAATTATGCCGCACTTTTTTTCAGCTCGACTTCCCGACTCCCGAATATGGCGCGAAGCAGCAATGAAGCGGTCGACAAGAGAAAAAAATCCCGATCTCGCCCCCTGGTCCCGTTTCTCGATTTGTTTTCCTGCTGTTTGTCTGCCGAGAATTGCTTGGTGCTGCTTGTATTTCCGTTTAATTGGCGTCATTCTATCTCATTGTTTGCCCCCTACTGATCCCCCCTATTTCCCGCTCGGCATTAAGTAGAAATTCGCCGCCATCGTCGTGTAGTTGAAAAATTCGCGCTTTTTCGATAAATATTTCAAAACTCGTTTGTCTCGAGGAATCGAATACAGAATTCAGTGTCACGCGTTTCTGAGGGGAATTGAGCGATTTTTGCATTTTTCAAGCTTAAAAAGCCGGATTCCGATCGGCTACTCCGCACGTTCCAACCCGTTACGCCACCATATTCGCCCGAGTTTTGAAAATCGAAAAATTGGAGGAGAAAAGATTGATAAAATCGTTAAAAATTAGCAAATAATCGAAAAATTGTTTGGTTTGAAGGTTTAGCCGTATTCTTGTGGAGTTTTGAACTTTTTATAAACCAAAATCACGTTTTATCGCGTTTCTACGGTTTAATTGTTTCTAATGTTTTCAAAATCAATTTTTACAGGCAATTCCCGATTGATGGAGCCGGAATTTGACCCGAACAAGGTAGAATGCCGCTTAGAAAACCAAGAATAGTGTTTTTAGGTGAAAAAAGAGGTGGTGCTGGAGGCGGATCCGGCGGTCGAGTACCATCCACCAATAGAGGTATGTAGTTGTTATGGATATATTTTGGTTTTTCTGAGTATTTAGGCTTTTCCGGAAGCGGTGCCGCTGCTCGAGCACGAGCACCGGTTGATGCTCGACAATCTGACGCGCGACACGCTCTTTGTTTTTGCCGGGTAATTTCGAAATTTTGGAAATTATATTTTTAAAATGACTTTTGAAACTGGATCCCGACATTTTGCAACAAATGGTTTTATTGATGTTATTCAGTTTATCTTTAAATGTTGTTTTTCGCAGCGGTCTCGGCGTCGAGCGTCTCTTCCTGCACTACCTGATGCTCTACTCGAGCCGCAAGCTGCTCGCCCTCGTCATCAACACCACCGATCAGGTGGTTTTTTTGTAGTTGTTGGGCGCCATTTTCATGATTTAAGTGATATATTTCACCCTTTTTATCAATTCGCACTGTTTTGCAGGACGAGGCCTTCTTCCTGTCGAAGCTCAACGCCCTGCCAGCCGACCAGTTCACCCCGCCAAAGATCCTCAACGCCGACGTGTCCATTGCAGATCGGTGCGCTATTTTTTTTGGGGCAAAAATCTGCTAGCTTGCCATGGAATTTTAAAGTACAGGCTGTCCCAAACAAAAATCACCCCCTCTAGCCGGCCACAGTCGTTCCCGATTTTGACGATTTAGGTATCGATCGAAAGCTCTGGGAAAGGCGAGTTCAGCACATCGTTCCGATTTCCGAAATCTCCAAGTTTTTGCTCTTTCACTCAAACATGTCACGCTTTTTCGTCAAAAACCGAATTGAAACGGTTTTGGCGCTATCCAAGCTGTGTTTTTGCAAATGGCTTTCAAAAAGCTGTCGATGCGCTGCCAGGAAGGGCGTAAAAACCAGTTGTGCATTTTGTTAAGCAGCCCCTTTGTCAGAGAAAACCTCAGAAACTCCCGTTTCGCAAAAATATTAGTGAATGTTATAAAAATTTCACAAATTTGAGAGTCGGAAAAACTGGCTGGGACTCGCCTTTCCGAGAGCTTTCGCTAGATACCTAGATCGTAAAAAATCGGACTTGTCTGCGGCCGGCTAGAGGGGTGATTTTTGGGAGACCCTGTAGTCTCTGCCAGTTTGCCATGGAATTTTTGCTTCCAAAATACTCTCTGCTTGTTTGCCTCCGCTGTAGGCTTGCCCGGTTTCGACCAATAACCTCTGCCAGTCTACCATACCCATTTTTAGACTATCCCTCTACCTCCAAGGCGGCGTCCACTTTATCACCTCGCGAATTCTAATGGTCGACTTTTTGACGGATCGAATTCCGGCCAAAATGGTGGCCGTCATCTTGGTCTACCGTGCTCATCAGTGAGATTTTCATCAATAAAATTGAATTCCGACTTTCTAGGCTTCTGAATACATTCCAAGACGCCTTTATCCTGCGTCTCTACCGTGAGAAGAATAAGGAAGGCCGTGTGAGGGCATTCACCGATCAACCACAAGCCATTGCTGGATTGGGACAGTTGCAGAGGTCGGCTGGCAGAGATTCTTGCGGAATTGATCGGGCTAGCAGAGTTTTTATGAGGAATTTAAGCTGTCTGAATTAGCACAGAGATAGTGTCGGCGTTTCTGATCATCACTTCGTCGTCCAAATTTGCTACTAGTTTTTAAAACTCGAGATACTGGCGTTTTAGTGTCGATTTCCGCCCCGAGAAGTGTTTTGTCCTGATGCCATTCTTTTATGCATTGAAGTTCTGCTTTATTTTTAAAGGCTTATCTGATAGAAAAAATTTTTCTGATTCGAATGGTATATTTTACTAAAGCGACTTCGTCTAGACGGTTTCTTACAACTGTTTGAAGCATGCTGTTTTGTTTCCATTTCCCGCCATTTCCCATCCAAAATCGGAGTCTGTAAATATAAATATCCGTAAGATCCGTAAATACTAAAACATAAATATCGTCAAATTTTCCAATTTTTCGAGTTTTCAAAAGTTTTGAATTCGAGGGCTCATTCGACGGAGAAAAATTTTCCGAATCCGTTGACAATATTTATTTTCGCAAAATCGACCGGGAAGATCAAAATAATCGAGGACGAAGTTTGACGATTTTAACTAGAGGATAATTTCAGAAATGGCATATCTCTCTTTTTGAAGAGCAGTAACAAATTTGGACAACAAGGTGATGATCAGCACGGTCGATTTTTACCTGTGTGCTAATTTTGAGCCGATTCTAAATCCGGGTTGATTCGGGTTCCCCTAGTCAGAGAATTTCTGGAAAAATGGCTATTTCCAGACTGGTCGATCGTCTCTACGTGCGTCATGTCCGTCTCGTCCCCCGTTACGATGAAGGCGTCGTCGAGACTCTTTCCAAATCTGAGGTAATTTTTGGTAAATTTTTTTCTATATTTTTCTAATTTTTTTTCAGCCCACCTCTATCGAATTGGGCATCGATCTACCGGGGGCGATGCGGAGATGTATTTCTCTGATTTCCGACCTGCTAAAAGTGTGTCTGCGCGAGTTGAAGCAGTCGGCCGTCCGTGTCAAGGTGAGCAACTCGAGACGATTCGACACAGTCGATTTCAGAGCCAAATCGAAGAAGACGCCGAGTCGGAGGCGTTCAATTCGGGCCTCTATTTCGTCACCGAGCTGGAGAGGAGGCTTCGATTGAAACGGTCAATTTTCGGCGCTGGACTGTTAATGGGGGCTTCATAAAAACATATAATTTAATTTTTCTGACATAAATGCGCGATTTTTCGTCGAACCTTTTAATAGAATTTGTTTTTGCAATCTTTCTATGAAATTTTCAAGATGAATCGTCATTTATAGCGAAATTGGAGGTTTTTTTGTGTAGAGAGTACGGATTACACCGTCCATGGACAGTTCAGCGCGCCTAGGAGCGCCGCGTACCGAAAATCGGTGATTTCTGGTCAAAAAATCTATCTTTTGCGTTTTTAAAAGTAAATTGTAAAGTTTTTGCATTTATAAATACAGAAAAAACGGGTTTAAACACATTTATCAGGAAAATTGGATCATAAGGAGTTTTTTCAGTTCTTACCTGCCCGACCGCCAGCAGCGCCTCCTGCAGGACTGTGAATTTCTGCGGAATCTGCTGCGGATCGCCGAGACCCGCGACGCGTGCACCGTCCTCTCAAAGCTCACTTGGTTCTCCAAGGATAAAGAGGTGTGATTTGTGGCTGAAGATTTCGTCAAGTTGTCGAAATCTGGCATTTTGATCAGCTCGATTTTCGGATTCACTAAATTTCCAGAAAAAATTTTGTTGGGGCTAAAATTTCGGAAATGTCGAGATTTGGAAAGTTGGGCATGATGAATTTTTAATTTCTTGAGACAGTGAGATTCTGCAGAGATGCACATTTTTCTTAGCCGAGATACTGAAATTCCGCAGGAAATTCGAGGTTCGCAGAGTTTTCAAAATTCTGTAAATGCGCGATTATGCAATTTCGAGATTCTAGAAATTCGAAGTGATTAAAAAATCGATATGTCGAAATTTCGGGATGAAACTTCGACATTGCGGAATTTCTGAGACCTGGAAAATTCTATATTTCTTTTGAACATTTTAGATTCTGAATACAAATTACCAAAATCCGCAATGCCGAAATTTCGTATAAAACTTCGACATTATCAATTTACATGTTCAAAAAAAAAAATCGATATTTTGGATTTTTTTGGATTTTAGATTAAATTCTAAACTATCAAAATTCACAATGCCGAAATTGGCGATGAAAATTCGATATTTGGAGAATTTGTGGTTGGGAAAATTCGTCATTCCTGAAAAATGGGATAAATTCCTTGATTTTCTAGGCGCTGGAGCACTCGTCCGGCTGGCTGTTCACCCCAACCGGAAATCGTCTGATGGCCGTCAGCCAGGAGCTCGCTTCCGCACTGTCGCCGAGGCCAGAGTTTGCGGGTAATTGATGCTAATTTCTCCATCGATTATTTCTCTTTTTAGAACCGCCAAAATGGACGGCTCTCCAGGGTGTACTTGATGAAATTCGTGAGCTCTACGTCTCTCCAGAAGAAGTCCCGCCCGGTGGTCAGTTATATTAATAATTTCTTATTCAATTAATATATTTATTTTTTTAAGGATCTAATTTTTCCAATATCAAAGGGGCGCTGTTTCTAAACAGTTAACCGCCATTTTTAAGTGTGAAAACTATGAAAAAATGTCGAAAATATCGATTTTCGCTCAAAATTTCGGCAAAAATTTTTTCCTAACTATCTTTATCTGTTTTCCATTTAAAATATAGGTAAATTTTCTGCAAAACACAATTAAAATGCTTACTTTGAAGTTCTCGGCATTTCTGGACTTATACGAAGAAAGCCCCCCCCCCACCGATAATGCGAAAGAACCCTTCAATAACTTTTTATATGCTTTTCCAGGCCCGTCGGTTGTGATCTTCGTGGCTGACGACGCCTCGCAGCTGCAGCTGACCGATCTGTTGAAGAGGGGAATTGCTAGGACAAAGGTTGGTTGAGTGCCACTGTGTGACACACGCTCTCTCTCTCTCTCTCTCTCTCTCTCTCTCTCTGTCTGTCTCTCTCGCTCTCTCTCTGTCTCTCTCTGTCTCTCTCTCTCTCTATCACTCCCATTCCAGATGGACTTGAAGAAGTCGATCCGCACTGTGACTGGAGATCCAGATATCCGTCCTCTATGGGATCCAGACCAAGTATTCCCCTTCTACACCAAAGAAATGGTAATTGTCATTTTTTGCCAAAAAAATCTTTTATTCTACCGTAGGAAGAAACGGAGGGCTCGCGAAAAGACGTCGTCGGAAATATTCAGAAAAATCAGAAGGAGGCCACCAGGGCTGTCAAGAAGAGGTGATCTATTTTAAAGGAAAAGATCGACTACACGGTACAACGAATTACGCGGCGTACAAACTGCAAGGTTTTGCTCGTTTTTCTGGTCGTTTAAAAGGAATTGTGCAGTCAAAATTGCGGCTAAAAAGTGCAACAAATTACGCGGAATCATATAGAAAATTTTATTGATCCTATGTCTAAATAAAACAACCATTTTTGGGAATTTTTTTGGTGATTTTGAAGGGCTTGGGAAGTCCTAGATCGGCTACGAAGTACAACAAATTACGCGGAATCTTTTCGAAATATTTATTTAACGGATGGATGCGAATAAAAACAACAAATTTTTCGGGTCCTGGAGGGTTTCGAAGGGTTTGGGAAGTCATAATTCTGCTACGAAGTACAACAAATTACGCGGAGCTGGTAGACACTTTTATTTGACTTATGGCTAGAGAAAAACAACAAATTTTTGGGTCATAGAGGATTTTAAAGGGGTTGGGAAGGCATAGATCGGCTACGAAGCACAACAAATTACGGGCAACAGGGGAATTTGGTCGTTTTAAAGGGCCGCTCAAGTAAAAAAAAATCGGCTAAAATGAAACAATTCAAGAATACAATTATTTTTTGCAGGAAAAAGGTCGCGGAGACGCTGGTCGGCATCAAGCAGCGCAATTTGGAACATTTCGGAATTATGCGCTACCGGCGGACCGTCGAGAAGGGGGTATCGGTTTTATTTGACCAAAAATTACTTTCCATTTAAAGTATTTTTCATTAATGGCTTGAAACCTGATTTTTACGTTTTAACTGAATTGGACTAATTTAAAGCTGCCGTAGGGGGTAATTAGCATTTTGCCTTGTTGAGGGAGGTGAAGAATTCGAGCTGCAGATCCGCATCCGAGGCGATTCCTGAAAAATTGGGGGTCATTTAACCGGGGGTAATTGACTATTTTTCGTAGCTTTACATGGCGTAATTTACTGAAGCAAATGGTGTAATCGACTTAATTAAGTTGCGTAATCGATTTTTTATATACTATTTTTTGGGGCAATTATGATTTTTGGCTTTTTCATAGTCGTTTTGGGTTAATTAAATGTCGTAATCGGTCAGACTTTCGTGTTTAAGTGGCGTAATTGATTGAATTAAATGGCGTAAACTATTTTCTGATGATTTGTTTAGCTTTTTTAGTGCTTTGGTTGCGTAATCGGCCATTAAAGACATGGTGGAAATGATAGAATTAAATGGCATAATCGATTATTTTTGACGTATTTTGCGGAGATTGATTGATTTTGGCGCGTAATCGGTTCAATTTATGTGGCGTACTCAATTAGTTTAGTGGAATCTATGGATTTTTTTAGGCTTTCGAAATTTCTGGGAATTTGAGTTCTGGATTGTTAGCGGGGGGGTGGGGGGATTTTTAGCCGCGGGAAAGCCACTTTCTGTTTTTTTACCTATTGATGACCTGCTGATGATATATTAGGGATTTTTATAGTGTTTTTAGTAGTTTTTGATGGCTATAAAGTTGTAAAAATTAATTTTGAATTTTTGAAAATTCGAAAATTTTGGCCTTTTTGGTAATTTTTCCTAGATTTTATCGACATTGCTATAAATAGCGTAACCGAATTAATGGGCGTAAGCTATTATTTTTGTTTTATATTTTGCGCTTTGCTTTCTGCGGTACCTGCACAGGCGGCGATCAGCTTGGAGACGGCGGCGAATTGGCGCATGAAAGCGTTCGAAACGGGGGTACCGGCAGGGACCATTGGAGCCTTCAGGAGCAGGGATAGGATTGAGAGAACCTGCAAAATTGATTGAGAATTCCGCTTGTCAACCCAGTCGATTCCCCAAGAATCTCGGCACGTTGTTGCCTATTTTCCGTAAAAAACTCTGCCAGCTGCCAGCTCAATTTTTCAAAGATTTTTGCAAGCGTTTCGAGCTAGATTCCTCAAGGATCTCTGCTAGCTACTGCTTGTTTTGCGAAAAATCTCTCTGCTAGCCGCCCCGAATTCCTCAACAATTCCGGCTAGCTGTCCACTAAATTCCCTAAGAATCGCTGCTCGTTGCTGCCTATTTTCCTAAAGAATCCCCGCTAGCCGCCAGCTCAATTTTTCAATGATTTTTGCAAGAGTTTCTAGCTAGATTCCTCAAGGATCTCTGCTAGCGACTGCTTATTTTTCCAAAGAATCCCTGCTAGCTTGTACCGGAATTCCCCAAGAATCTCTGCTAGTTACCGCTCGTTTCCGCAAGTACCTCTGTTTTTGGCAGCCTATGTTTCCTAAAGAAGCTGGGCTAGCCTGCCCCTAAAATCCACAAGTATCTCTGCTGGTTGCTGCTGATTTTGCAAAGGATCTCTGCTAGCTGGCAACTAAATTCCTCAAAGATCTCTGCTAGCCTCTGCCCTGAACTTCCCCAAAAAGGCTCTGCTATTCCCGACTATTTCCTCAAATATCAGTGCTCGTTAGCGCCTATTTTTCCTCAAAAATCCCTGCTAGCTACCGCCCTTTTTACGAATTTTTTCAATTCTACCGTACCTCGTTGAATTGCTCGTATCCCCGTCCATTGACGGAATATTGAATTCGGGTGGCCAGCTCGGTGAGGATGGCCAGGTCGTAGATCAACGGGGTGGCGAGCAGAGAGTCCTGAGGAGTTTCGTTTCTTTTCTTCTCTGATTCTCTATCTGCCTGTCTGTCTGTCTCTCTCTCTCTCTCTCTCTCTCTGTCTGTCACTCTCTCTCTCTCCCTCTCTCTCTCACCTCGCATGTATTGTGAATGACAAATGTCTGGCGGCCTCCCATGAAAATCGAGCACACATATTCGTCCATGGCTCGTTTCGAATCCCCGACAAATGGCACGTATCTGGAAGTTGTAAAGCGTAGCATTTTTCTCTTTTTCTCTGCGTTTCTCTGTCTCTCTTTCTCTCTCTCTCTCTCTCTCTCTCTTCCTCCCTTTCTCTCCCTTGCTTTTTGAAAGGACTGGTAAGCCAAAAATCTACTTTTTTCTGTAGTCTGTAGCCTTTAATTTCCCTTACTTGATAACAACAGTATGATCGGGCTTCTTGTTGTCCGGATACAAAATCTTATTCGAAGCCACCATATCGTCGACCACGTTCGATTTCGTGATTTCTTTCGAGCGGAATTGGCGCGCCTAAAAAGTTAGGGTTTTTGGATTTTCTCAAAGAATCTCTGCTAGCCTGCACAGGGAATTTCCACAAGTTCCTTTGCTATGTTGCCCTAATCTACACCTCAGGTGTCTCTGCTAGCTGCACTCATTCTTAATTTTAAGAAGTCTCTGCTAGTCTGCCCCTCGATTTTCCGCAGGGGATTTCTGCTAGCCGGCCTTTCAATTCCTTAAAGAAATCCCTGCTAGCCTGCCTCTATTCCTCAAAGGATTTCTGCTCGTTTGCTCTAGTCTGCGCGAATGCCCAAGTTCCTCTGCTAGCCCTGGCTGCCGGTTTCCTCAAAGGATCTCGACTAGCCCGCGCCTGAATTCCCAAAAGATCTCTGCTAGATGCCCTGAACTTGTTGTTGTTAAACTTCCTCAAAATTTTCTGCTAGCCTGCCCAATTTTCCGCAATAATCCCTGCTGGACTACCTCGTCGCCTCCATGGCCCTCCATTTTCCACAAAAATCCCTGCTAGAGCGCCCTAATCAATGCCCTGTTCCCACTCACCTCGGATAAATTCTTTCCATCATTATTCCCCAAATGATTGTACGAGACGATACTCTCGGGTTTCAACCCCGAAGACACCAGGAAATCGACGAGGGCCGATTTGAGCTTTGTCTGTCCGGATTTGAAATCATCGCCTCCGATGAAGACACCATTCTTTCCGGCCAATTCGACGATACCCGGGCAAAGGGTATTCTGTGGAGATCCATTGATATAATGGGCTCCCTCAAGGATTGAGGCCACCGCGAAGATGTTCGAGGGGGATACCTGCAAAAATGCCGTTTTTAGCGGAATACTGGGTGTCCCAAAAACGCCGCGCCTCGGCATTTTTCCGTCTTCTATCGGATCGGGGCTACGGTTCAGTTTACCACCCCCCTCTCCAGCCCAGCTCCTCAGCCAATGGTCTTATTAATGCGCCGAGCATCTCAAAATGTTCCCCGTGGTCTAAAACCTGTACAAAAGTTGTTTACTTGCGCCAAAGATTGTTAGAAAATTTTTTACAAGATTTTAAAGTTGAAAATATTAGGTCGCAATAGTACATTGTACGCGTAGTTTCTAACTCAAATATTTTCTTTTCGAGGTTTTTTTTACTCAAACGTACTGTGGGCTTATTCTCCAGAGCAAGAGCTAGATTTTGGTACAATTGACAGCTCTGTAGGACGAAAAATAGCCGAGATACGAAAGCTCAGGACCTGCAAAAATTAACTAAAGAATACCCAGACTTATAACTGCTATAAAAAATTTCTAACAATTTTTGGTGTAAGAAAACAACCTTTGTTATAGGTTTTCTACCATGGCGAACGTTTTGAAATACTCGGCGCATTAATGGGGTTATGGCTGAGGAGCTGGGCTGGGGGGGGTAAGCTGAACTCTAACCCGGATCGGCCCCCATTTTTTGCCGGCGATGGGAACGCATAAAAACTCTATGCAGCCGGATTTTCTAAGCAAAATATTGTAAAACAAAAAAGTTATCGCTAAAAACCGATTTTCAGGGAAATGCTGGTACTTATTTTCGGCTATGTTTTCGCAACTAGCATGTCCATTTTGAGCAATTCGTCGAAAATGGACATTTTCGGGTCGGTTTCTACCAATTTTGTTCATAAAAAGTGATGAAAAACCCCAATTTAGACCCAATTCAATTGAAAAAACTTCTCCGGGGGAAAAACATGCCCTCTTCATTTTTGCTAAACATTTCGAGGTCCAAATCCTTCAAAATCCTAGTGAAATCGGCAAAATAGACATTAAGTTCGTTATAACTTTTTCGTTTTACAATGTTTTGCTTAGAAAACATGGCTGCACATAGTTTTTATGGGTCCCATCGCTGGTAAAAATTTGGTGCCGATCCGATGGAAGTCGGCCAAATACCGAGAGGTTTTTTTGGGACAATCTATAAAAAATAAGGCAAGGCTACTTTTGAATTCCTTTTTTGGCTGACCTCATCGGCATTCCTCTTGATCGAGGCCAACATCTGATCAGCCGTCATATTCAGCCCGTCCTCCACATCCGTGAACCGCTCCGTATTGGCCGTCCACAGTACAATCACGCACTCCAACCCGTGCTTCTCTTTGAATTCGCGAATATCCTTGCGAATCCGCTCCAAATGCTCCGATTTACTCTCGCCGGGAAGCACGTTGTTGGCGCGGGTTCCTGCAAAATAAGCTTTTTTACGAATTTCCGATTTCCTAAATGGTCTCTGCTAGTCTGCCCTTAATTTTCTATTTTCTCAAGGAATTTCTGCTAGCTTGCCCTCTTTTCCGCAGGGCTCCCGGATTGCTGACTGATGCTTCAAGAACCTTTGCTAGCCCCGGTCTCAAATGATCTCTGCTAGTCCCCCGATTCCTCAAATGATCGCTGCTAGCTCTGATCTGCGATTCCTCAAAGAATCTCTGCTAGCTTGTCCCCTGCATACCTTGATTTGACGCGATAAAGTCGGGATAATAAATCGACGGTTTCGGGATAATCGATTCCATGTGGGGGCGGAGTTGATCGATCAATTCCGGTTCGAATACCTGAAAATAATAATTTAAAAAAATTATAAAAATAAAAATAGATTGTCTTTTTTACCCTGTCCCCTTTCCCATTTATTACGATTTGTATTTTTATTAAAAACTACCTTTGACCTGAGCATTGCCTCGTATAAATTGGCGTCATTAATGTCCCATCCGTCGACAATCAGCTCATGGGGGCGAAGCATCGGCAGCATCTCGTTGAACGGCACGTGCACCTTGAAAAGTATTTATTTTCAGAGATTTTGACGTCAAATTTAGCCCGAACGGTTACGCCATCAAATTCTGGCCTAACCGTTTACGTCGTTAAATCTGGTTTGAACCGATTACGTTATCCATTGCAGGTCTAACCGATTATGACATTAAATAAGATTTTAACCGCTTAGGCCGCTTAATTACGCTAGGAAGGAAAGTGGAATTGACCGATTACGATAGTGAAATTGCTGTCTAACTGCTTACGGCGTCAAATTTGCGTTGAAATGGTTACGTCATTTCATCCCGGTCTGCGCCAAATGTGCGTCGAACCGACTACGCCACCTAATTCCGGTCTAACTGATTATGGCATGAAATTCTCGTCGGCACCGCTTACAATGGGAACTGTTATTTTAATCGATTACCAGGGTTGAAAAGTCGCTTCGCGACTTTTCAACCCTGGCCTCGTCTGGCCCCATTTTATCCTTCACTTTGCATAATTGTCCCAAATTCAGATGACAAAAAATGAAAAACAACCTCTCCTATCCCGTTATATAGTAGAATCCGAACTTCCGGTCTATGCTAATTTGTTCTAACAAAGAATTTTTCACAAAAACTTAATTTTAATGTCGAAAATAGGTGATTTTGTTGAATCTCTTATGCGTGCAGTCATCGTCAGGTCATTACGCACCTAATGACGTATCATACATACCTTAAAATTCCTCCCCTATCGAGATATCCTCCGGACAGACAAACGGAAGTGGATGCAAAGTGGCACACACACAGACACACACAGACACTATTTTTTTATATATAGTAGGATGAGAGGAAATTCCTTTAAACGAGTTAATTGAAGTCTACTCGACGATGCGATAAAATGCGTACCTGTTCCTGTCCATCATATCCAATATGTACCGTGCTCGACTGGGTGAACGAGCCGAAATAATTGGCATGGTGGGTACCCTCCCGATTCCGCCAGCTCATCTTCTCTCGATTCGCGATCATCGCACCCACCTTCAAAAATTATTACAATTTTTGAAGGTTATTTTTATCGGAGTTTTCGCCTGCGCATATTTTCCTGTCGTAACCACTTACCGTAGTCGATCCATTATTGCCTCCAATCCCCACCAACATCAGTCCAGTCTTCCTCGTCTGTCTGCCCGTTCGTAGTTTATATTCGTACACTTCCGGTGTGACCCTCAGCCCATCCACCGTCCTCTCTATCTTATTCTTACGGTAGTTGAACGTTGAGTCGATAAATTCGGAGCCATAGGTCACGCCCGGGGAATTCACGTGCAGCTGAAATTTTTGAGGGTTTGAACGGACCGGGAAGGCCAATTTCCAGGGAAACTTGCAGGGGTTTTGGTGGAATTTTTGGACAGTCTAAAGGAACTAGTAAGGCTCATTTCCGTCAATTTGTCATTTTCCTTTTTGACGGGTTTTTGGTTTTTTCGATTTTTCGATTTTCCATGGCATCGGCTAGCGGAGAGTTTTGAGGAATTCATTTTTCGCGGTTTTAAAGGAGCCAACAAGGACCTTTTCGAGCAGAATAAAGTGGATGGCGGGGTTTTTTTGGGGAAATTTTATGCTTTGTGAAGGCACCTTGATTCTGGGATTTTTAGGGTTTTTTTAGCAGCAGTGATCCTCGTGGAATTATTTTGTGGAGGTTTTTAAGGGTTTATTTCAAGCGGAATTTCGATATCCGCCGTTTCTAGCGATTTCCGATTGGCTGGTCAACTAGCAGAGATTTCTCAGGAGCTTTCTGGAATTCGAAGGTCTAATAAAAAAGCAAAAAAAAAAAAGAATAGAGAAGGCTTGTTTTGGGAACTTTTTGCCAGCTAGCAAAGATCTTAGCGGAGCAAAATCAAATTTTCATCAATTGATCGATTTCTCTCATGGGACAGCTAGGGGGTTTTTTAGGGGGAATTTTTTGGACATTTACAGGAACTGGAAAAGATAATTTTCGACAATTTGCCTATTTTTTCTAGTGGATCAGCTAGCGGAGATGTTTGAGGAATTTATCTTTTGGGTTTGCGCGGGGATTTTGAGTGTGTTGCGATGGTAGGGGCAGACTAGCAGAGATATTGCGGAATTACCCCACTTACCGTATCGTTTCGTACATGTCCGTTAGTATGTCCGTTCTGATGTCCATTTCCATTTGTAAGGTGGACACCATTTCCATTGACGTGGCTGTGGCCGTTCATTGTTGCAAGTCGGAGGGTAGCTGAAAATCAGGGGGTGATGGCTGTCTACAGGGACATTACGGGGCAAAAGATCGCGACAAAAAAAATCGCAAAACTAAAATTGAATCATAGTCAAAGCACGGAAATTTTCGGCGGATTTGGAGGAATTTGGAGGCCGAACTGGCGGTGATTCTTTCAGAAATTCATCATTTGATAGCTAGGCAAGCTGGCAAGGATCATTTAGGAAATTCACGGTTTTCTGGGTAGACATCATGCCCCCATTCGGGAAAATAGACGATTTTCTGGCTCGGGCAGGCTAGCCGTGATCATTCGAGGAATTCGCGTTTTTCGGCCAGGCCAGTTAGGCGTAATTTTTCACAAATTCGGACTTTTCTCGCTGTCGCTGGCTAGCTGACACAATTTTGGAGGGATAACTAGCAGAGATTTTTTGAGGAATTTGGTGCGCGGTTTTTAAGGATCGTTGAGGCTAATTTCGTATATTCACAGGTCAGCTAGCGGAGATTTTTGAGGAATCCACCAGGAATTTTTTAAGGTTTAAAGGGAATTCTTTGACGATTTCAAGGGGATTTTGGGCCGGCATTTGGAGAGAAACGTAAAATGCATCAAAAGGAAGTAAAAAAAATTAATAAAGCTGGTCCACCCTGCCATTGGAAAGAAACGGGAAAATCATCGAGATTTGGCTAGATTGGATAGGGGGAATTAATAAATGTGCAGCATGGCAGACGTTGAACTTTGTCTGTCCTTCAAATGGGGCCATCGTGCCCCCAGGGGCTCTTTTGCTGATAGTGGCCACGCCCACTTTTGTGCGCCGGGTACAGATGGATATCTGGTTTTCTCTCTCTCTCTCTCTCTCGCTCTCTCTCTCTCGCTCTCTTTAAAGGGCGTATGGCGTGATAGTGGATGTTGATTGTGAGTGTGTTCTATGCCCTGCTGCTCGTCCTCATCACCTCATGCTTCTCGTTGCCGCCCCAAAAATAGAGCTCGGGCACGCTAGCAGAGATTCTTTGAGGAATTGGAGGGGATGGACGGGGGCAGGCTAGCAGAGATTCTTTGAGGAATTGGAGGGGATGGACGGGGGGCAGGCTAGCAGAGATTCTTTGAAGAATTGGAGGGGATGGACGGGGGCAGGCTAGCAGAGATTCTTTGAGGAATTGGAGGGGATGGACGGGGGCAGGCTAGCAGAGATTCTTTGAGGAATTGGAGGGGATGGACGGGGGCAGGCTAGCAGAGATTCTTTGAAGAATTGGAGGGGATGGACGGGGGCAGGCTAGCAGAGATTCTTTGAGGAATTGGAGGGGATGGACGGAGGCAGGCTAGCAGAGATTCTTTGAGGAATTGGAGGGGATGGACGGGGGCAGGCTAGCAGAGATTCTTTGAGGAATTGGAGGGGATGGGCGGGGGGCAGGCTAGCAGAGATTCTTTGAGGAATTGGAGGGGATGGACGGAGGCAGGCTAGCAGAGATTCTTTGAGGAATTGGAGGGGATGGACGGGGGCAGGCTAGCAGAGATTCTTTGAGGAATTGGAGGGGATGGACGGGGGCAGGCTAGCAGAGATTCTTTGAGGAATTGGAGGGGATGGACGGGGGCAGGCTAGCAGAGCTTCTTCGAGGAATCGGTTTTTCCAAGAAAGGCAAGCTAGCAGAGAACTTTTAGGAGCTTTTTGCGGGCTGAGCAATGAACGGAATGTCCTTCAGCTGGCCAGCCACCCTCAAAAATGCAATTTCGCGCGCCCGGACGGCTTTAAATAGAGGGCCCAAAAGGGCCATGGATGCCCCAGAAAAAAGGCTGGGAATTGGACCCATTGGACCCGAAAAAAATGCCGAAAATGGGGGAGGGAATACCCAGACACATTTTTTAATCTAGAGCTGGGAAACGAGGGGGATAAAGCCGCCAAAAATAGCCAAAAAGAGCTGCTGGTCAGTGGTCGAGTTGAGCAAATTTTTTCTCATGGATCCAAGTTTTCTAATATAAATAGAGGAGGTGTTTCTAAAATGTTATTTACAATCCCTAAGCGTCAAACGATAAAAAATTGCATTAAAAAAAGGCAAATATCGATTTCTCGACCAAAAATGTAGATTTTTTACCGAAATTTCGACTTTTTCAACATGTTTAGCTGGTTTTTCAAGCTTAAATAGCTTAATATTTTACTAAGAACACTACGAAACTGTTATCAATTTAGTAGGCATTTCTAGACTTTTACAAAAAAAATCACCGCCCCTCGATAATGGAAAAGAACCGAACGGGGAGATCCCCCTAAAAGGACAGCAGCCATTTTTGGCTGTCTGGCCCTTGGGAAAATCGATGTTTCTGTGGTGAAAAGGGGCTTCTTCTCCTTCTTCTCGCCTTCAATTTGTCCCCGGAGAATGTATGGGATGAGAATTCGGGGCCCCGCCCCTAATTACAATTCTATCCCGATCTCACGGCCCTCACGTAGACGCGCTTTTCAAGATGACAATGAGAATTACGCGGAAAATTTGTTTATGTTTTGAAGGATGAAAATAGCTTGAAAAATAGCTGCAAAGCTCCCAAAGAATCTCCGCTAGCCCGTCCAAGCCCCCAAAAAAAATTTTTTTTTGGGTGACAAGGCCCCAAAAAACCGCGAAATTTCGATTTTATGGGCATGTCGGACTAGTGGTTCGGCGCTCCCAAAGAATTTCTCCTAGCCTGCCCAAGATGCCAGTCATTTTTCCGCAAATGTCCGCTGCTGGCTTGCCTAGGCAAATGTTTCGCATCCCCGAATTTTCTCTGCTAGCCTGCTGACCCTGGATTATCGAAATTATTCGGAATCAAAAGGCGGGAAAGCTCCCAAAGAATCTCTGCTAGCCTGCCCTAGTCCGTATCTCTATATTTTCCTCAATAATCGCTGCTAGCTTGCCGTAACAGGGTTTTGACGTTCCAAAATTTACGCGGCTGGCCTGCCCCGCCTTGAATTTTTCAGATTCCTTCGCAAACTCCAGTAGCCTGCTTGCGAAAATGTATAGTTCCGAAATGTGCGCTGCTAGATGGCCCGATTTCCGCTTTCTGGCTTTTTCAGACAATCTGGCGACTCTCACCGAATGGTTTACGCTAGGAAATCCCTTATCAAAACGTGCGATTTTGCCCTTTCTGTTTTGTTCTCTTTCTGTCTGTCTCTCTCTCTCTCTCTCTCTCTCTCTCTCTCTTCCCCGAAATGATGACATTATCATGATATCCAATCAGGCCATTCGTCTCTTTACAGCCCCCCAGCAGCGGAATCACCCGATTATTTACGATGCAAAGTAAAAAGAAAGAGCGAGAGAGAGACAGAGGGAAAGAGAGAGAGTGAGAGAGAGAGAGTGAGTGAGAGAGAGAAAGCGAGGAAGACAGCGAGATAGATGCAGAAAACCAGGAAAAAGAATGCGTAAACTTCCTTAAAAAAATGGCTTTCTAAAAAATTCGGGGTAAAAAATCTAGGAGAGATTTAAGGAAACTGAAAATATAAATAAATTGTATAAATAAAAATATAATTATCTTTTTTCAGGAAGAAGTCGAGCCACAACCCGGCCCATCGACATCTACAGTAGTCACGCTGGAAAATGAGGAAAATCACCAAGAAGAGGACGATCAGCCGGTTCTGCAAGAGGAAAAAAAGGAAATCGCAAAACTTGGAGAGCAAACGGTACTTTTTTGACGTTTTGGGGGGCGAATGGCAGAGATTTTGATGGATACTGCTGGAATTCTCAAAGAATCTGTGCTATCCTGCCCTGACCAGCAGCAGCAACGATTCAGGAACCCGATTTTTCGAATAGAAACTCTTGATTTGGTTGGGCAAACTAGCTTAGATTCTTGGAAAAACGCGCGTTTTAATCGAAACAGCATTCACAGGTCCGTGCATCCACCCAAATTCCGTGTGGATTCCACCTGGAATTTGGGTGGAACGCATGGAAATCGGGTGGAAATCGGTTGGACGCAGTGGAAATCGAGTGGAAACACGACGCAACGCGGGCCCCACGCGTCGCGGCAAATGGAAATCGAGTGGAAACCGAGTGGATCCACTTGGTTTCCACTCGATTTCCATGCGTTCCACCCGGAATCCACTCGATTTCCATGTGGAATCCACTCGCGTCCGCTAGTGGAATTCCCCTCGATCCCCTCCGGGATTCCGAGTGGATTTCGGGTGGATGCACTGACCTGTGTTGTTCGATAGGCTAGCAGAGATTCTGAGGGAATCACGTGTATTACGCTAAAGGGTAGGCTTGCAGAGATTCTGTAGGAAAGATCTGGTGGCCAAGGTAGCGACTAGCAGATATCCTAGGGAAATTATTTTTTCGCTACAGGGCAGGATAGCAAAGATTTTGGGGGAAAATCTATGCCGAATGAGCGTCCCGGCAAGCTATCAGCGATTCCTAGGGAATTGGACTATTTTTTTGCTTTAAGGCCAGCTAGCAGAGATCCTTTAAGTAATAACTTACGGACTACGGCGACTCTTTGTATAAGTCAAGAAATGCCTAATAAATATTAATAGTAAGATTTTAATGGTGTTTTTAGTGAAGTTAAATCCATTTAAATTGGAGAAACTGTCTAAAAAACTTTAAAAACTAGAAGTTTGGATCGAAAATTGAACATTTTTGGTCGAAAAACCTATATTTTTTGTATTTTTAATGTAGGTTTGTAAAGTTTATATGTTTAGGGATAGTAAAAAACCCATTTGAAACCACTTACCCTATTTATTTTAGAAGAAAGAAACAAATAAACGAAAAAGTTGGCTCCCCCTATAATGGAAAAGCTCCACATTGATAAATTCACTTTTCCAGGTGCCAATCCACATTGTCTCGTGCTCGGCCTACGGTGGTGATCGCTACAATGTGCTCCGCGCGCTGGAAAAGATCAAGCCGGTGGTTGTCATCATGTATCACTCGGATCTGGCCACATTCCGACAGGTCGAGGTACGGTAGAGGGGCCAGATTTTAGAAATCTGGATTTTTTTAGTTGTTCCACGCGACAAATTCCAATTTCCACCTGCACTTCTATTTTCTACAGTA